CCCCCCTCCCCCCCCCCCCCCCCCCGCCCCGCATCTACACGTCCTTTGCAAAAAGTCGGATGCTGCCTGTGTGCAGAGTTCCCTTTGTGCTGCCACTGAGCTTTAGCCTGGCTGTCCCTGCTGTGACAAAGCAGAAGCTGTGGCTGGAATGGCAGAGGGGCACAGGGAGTTAACTCCTCCGTGCCCGCCGTCGGCCTTGCGGGAAGGTGTGTACCGCTGGGTGTCGGGAGGGTCTCAGCGGTGGGTGCTGCCAGGAGCCAGCCCGGGTCCTGCGGTGGGTGCTGGACGTGGAGCGCTGAAGCGCTCTGCCCCCTTCCCGGCGAGGGAGAGGTGGGCCCTTTTCCAAACCCTGAGAACTGCAATTGTCCTTCCCTTTCTGTGCAGGGGAGGGGAAGGATGCTGCCTTTGGAGATTCTCAGTGGTGCTCCTTAATCAAGCAGACGGGTTTTGACTCCTTTTGTCACTGTGCTATTTTGGTTTTTTCTTTTCTTTTTTTTCTTTTCCCACTAAACATCCCAAGCGTTTTCAGCCTCTGGCTCAAAGATCAGAGAGCAAGAGAGCCAGCTCTCCTAATCGTGAATGAACTGCTCGTTTTGCTTGCTTGTGCAAGCATAATGTGGTGTCTTTGTAGTGGAAGGGGAAGGAAAAAAAAAACAACCACTTTTGGAAAATACTTGTCATTCAAGATAACCCAACGTGCTTTACCGGGAGCTGCAGCAGAGCAGTGAGGGATATATTTAGCTCACTGTGTGCTCAGGATTGCTTTGCCTTTGGCGTTTGGGATTCCTGTGCTGGGGCAAGTAGCAGTGGCTAGAATGTGTGTGAAGATTTCCCTCTGCCTCCTCCCCTTCCCCTCCTTTGAGCCAGGCTTGGAAACCCGCACAACCCAATTCAGATGGTCATTTAGATAGGATACCTGCTGAGTGCATAATCCCTCAGTTACAGTAGCACCAATGGCCCTATTGTGCCTAGTGCTGTGTAAGTGTAATTAACACCCTACCTCTGCAAGCAAGGTTTGCAGGCGCATGTGTAAGAACTGTATATTCCCCATAGTAACTCTTCTCATTTGCCTATTTAAGAAAAAAAGCTGCTGGTCACAAAACGACCTTGGGGATTTTTTTTTTTTTTTTGAAGGACATGTTGGTTATTTGGCAGGGGCAGCCCTGTAACCTGGGGAATGTTTGTTGTGCCCCTTGAAAGCTTGCCCAGAGTTGGCCAAATTATATTGTCAGTATACAAAGTTATTTGAGACTTGCTTCTAAACAGTATGAAAAGGCTGGCTGTGTTTTTAGTATATTCTAATTTAAGTTCCTACTTTGAGACAGATCATTGTTAGAAATACATACCACGCATGGGTACGGATAGTAGAGTAGCAGGAATATTTTTCTTCCTTCCCCCCATTTCCACTTTTGCCTGCAGAAAATAAGTTGGGAAAAGCTCTTTCACCGACTGACCCTTCTCAATGCTTATCACTCAGAAAATCTTTACCTTGGGAGACAGGCAAGCACCAATCACTCTTTTTAATAGACTTTTAGAATAAAATAAAGGGAACTCAGAAAGCTAGGAATGAATTTATTTTTAGTATCACAATCTGAGTGGTGTTCGCTTAGCTCTCCTGCAAGCTCCATGCGCTGTCTGTATGGCCTTGGCTACACTTACTATAGCATTTACTCATGTTTTTTTCCCCAAGGCAAGGGATAGATCCCATGAAGTTCTCAGTTCTCTGTGGTCCACATATTATCCCCTCTTTATCAAGTGTTATCCCCTCTTCATCGGAGGATCTATGGCCAGAATCAGTCTTGTGTTTCCCTGCCTTGTTTAGCCTAGAGGTGAAATTTAATGTGGCTTGGTGCTTTTTTACAGCTACTGTGTGACTTGGGTACATGCATCAACATTAACTGATGGTGCTTGTTTTAATTTGCAATGTATGTAGGCATTTTGTATATGTTCATATAGTAGGGAGCATCACATTTATAGATCAGATATTCAAAGGAAATGCTTAACAGCAACGTGGTATCCAGCTGAGTCAGCATATTAGCATCTTCTGTAGTTTGTCGCTGTCCCTTTGTGTATACAACAGTTTGTGTGTAGGTCACTTCAGGAAGACACGTGTGTTTAAATAGCTTTAAACTGGTGGCCTTCACTGGCTTTGCTGATCTGTGTTTTGGAGTAAATCTCCCTTTTCTCCTCTGCAACTCATCTGGGCTGCCAAATGTAGTATAATTCCACTATCCCTGGTTCCTGTAAAGGCTTGGTCCTGATCTTACTTGCTAAGCCAACAGAGACCTATTTTGCTGTTTCTCTGGGCTAGTCTTCTGATGTGTTATCAAGTGCAAGTGGCTCATGGAGGAGTCCAGCGGCCCAGTCAGTGCTGGCAGAGGAAGAACAAGGTGAGTACTGGGAACACGGGCTGTGGAGTGAGGATGGGTGGGAGAGGGGAGGGGCTGTCTCCCTGCTTTGGGCTTTTGGTGGCAGGAAGCCGAGATGGGGTTGGACACCTGGCTGTCAGTTATCCACAGGACACGTGAAGCTGTGTCCAACGACGCACAAGGGTTAAGCATATGTTTGCCGGAGGGGAACAATAAACTTGGTTTCTGATATTATCCAGCCTTGGGAGTTTGTGCCAAGGACCTTCTTGAGCCTGCACGGTGTGGTTTTGCTGGTGCTGAGTCCCTGTTGAGCTTGCGAAGCCCAGAGGAACATTGCTGTTTGGATTCAAACTTGTTTAGATTCAAAATGTTCACAACAATTCTTAAAGCTAGGAGGAGCTTGGCTTGTGGGAGGGTCTTGGGTCATTAATCCTCCTTTATCCCCCTGGCTGAATTCAACTTCTGTTCATCAAAAGCCAAATTTTAAAGTCTGGGGCAGAATGGTCTTAGTTAGAGCCATTCCCTTGTCAGCTCTTGGAAATGCGTATTGGGTCATTTTTTCAGCTTGTCTTGCACCTTCTGGAAATATATATACTGTTTGTACTTGTTGAGAGCTTATAAAAGGTTTTGTTGCTGTTAGCAATGATGATCCCCTATAAAATGAAGTCATAAGTGAAATATTAAACACTAAGGCTGGAGGCTTCAGGCATGCTCTAATTGCCTTGTAAACTTAGATGCCTGATTGTAAAGGGTCTTATCGCTGCTGTTCAGCTACTTATTTCTTGGAAGGAACGTGTCCTTCTTGGTAAGGGATGATTTGGTTTTCTTCTTCCTCAAGCCAAGAGCAGGCTCTTAATTAAAACAGAATTATAACCTGAAGTATTTCTTAGAAACCAGGGGAGCATATTTGGCTGAGTGTTAGCAGATCTCAATTTTTATAGGAGTTTCTCACTTCAAGGGAGTTACCAACAGTCCAGCTGTAGCTTTCTTGATGTTCATGGGTGTTTCTCTGCCGAATTTAGTGAAGGTTGGACTGGTTGAATTGTGACTTTTGCGACAATTAATTATAGCTTATCCCCCACTTACAGTTTAATTGAAAGTAGGTCTTGTTTGGATGTTAACTTAGGGGGATTAAAGCAGGGCATATTCCAAAAATAGCTTCTGAAAAGAGGACTTAAATCTCCAGTTGTGTACAGTGTAAGGCCTGACTTGACATACAATGTTGCTAATCCTTCATACTCTGTTGGCAGGTAGAAATGCTTCTTGATTGTCTTGGTGATAGAAACTGAGGATTCTTTTATGGAATTAGCCTTTTCAGTTCTCTTTTTTTTTTACTCTATCAATGTAGAAATAAAGACAAGCACATATCCTTTTGCCTTTATAACAGGTTGTTTATTAAAAAAGAATTATTTGCAACAACCTTCAAAAGGACATACCACTTCTCATCTACATTTCTTTCCTTAGTAGGGCAAGCACATGCATACTTGTACATGCAGATGTGAATGTCATCTATCTGTCACTAGAGAGGCTGCCCTCTTTTCAGATGACACCGTTCACATCTTGAAAAAAAAATTATAGTGTCCAGATAATGTTGTGGATAAAGCACATGAATTACAGCTATTGATGTGCAGAAAGGCTGTGTCCTTGAAATAAAGTTTAGGGCCTTGAGAAACAAAGAGCTCCAGAGTGGGAGGAGGCCAGTAATTACAGTTCTGCCTTTAAACAAATACTGCCAAAGCTGTCTGGCCTCAGTCTAGCCTGGGTTGTTATAATTTCTTCCAGCTATTGCTAATAAATCTGATTGAAGAAAAGTGTCTTCCTCTTTCATGTGTCCCCGTGGAACATGGGATGCCAACATGACTCAACCAGAGCCTGATGTTGCCACTTTGCGTCGTGACACTAGAGGTTTGGATGCCTCCGGATCCCATTCTTTCGTGGAGGTCGAGCCTCCGTCCCTGCAGGAGGCTCTGCGGGACGGTGTCCTGCCGAGCCCTGCCTGTGGAAACTGGCTGTCCCCAGAGCTGCTGGAGCATTGTTTCCTTGAGTGGTGTGGCAATGCTTCCTAATAAAATTCCCTTGGTTTTCTTGAAAAAGTCCTTTCTTGAAAATTCTCCAGCACGGAAGTTTCATCACTCACTCTTAAGTAGACTCAGTTGCAAAGCCATGTGTTTGAGCGGGACGTTGGGAGCAGATGTCAGCAGATCTGTGAACGTGCTCAACGAGAAACCGTGCGGAGGGCGGCAGGCGAGCAGGGAGAGACGTGGTGGACGGTGCTGGCGATGGGGTGTAGCAGGAGAGCACAGCGATGGAGGGCTGTGGTAGAGAAGAGGGGACTGGAGGTTGCAGAAAACGTAGAGGAAGGGACAGGCGGTGGCAGGGCGTAGCGAGACGGCTGTGCGTGGGGCTGTGCCTTTGGTTGTTGTGGATAGGGGTAGGAGTGAGCGGGTGGCCTGGAAGGATGGTAGTTCAACTTGGCTTTCCAGCCCTGCTAGGAGGAAGAGATGCGATGCCCCTGTCTCCTTCGAAACCAAGCTGGGACGATGCAACCGGTAACCGTCGGTGAAGGTTCACCCTCCTATCTTTGCTGAAAAGGCTCCGTTTCTGTTACTTCAGCCTCAGAAATTCTCACTCCACGCTGTCTCTTTTTCCCCTGCGCGTGCTACCCTCTTCCATTTCAGGACTTGCGAACAGACCCAGAGCAGCGGCCGCCACCGCCACGGAGTCGCAAGATGGTGGAAGAGGGATGGCTGTAAAATGGCGGCTGGGAGCCTGGCTGCGCGCCCTGCGCCGAAGGGATTTCTGGAGCAGGTTCCCGCGGCGTTCGGCTGCTGCCCTCTGCCCGCTCCCTGGGAGACGGCAGCCGGGAGCTGAGCTGCTGATGCATGAGCTGCTGGGGGCCAGCCCCCTTAGGTTTCACAGATACCTGAAGAATTTTTATCTGAGAGTGGAAAACTGGCTTCCGTGGTGTGTGTAAATGAGCCCTGTTTGCATGTGGATATACCTATGAATAGTAGCTGACTCTAGCGATCCCCTCTCTGTAGCGTGTATTGATTTCTGTAGACCTGTATGTAATTGTACACGTGCTTTTGCTTTTTTGTCCTTCTTGATCTGTGCCTTCGGGGTATCTTGTTACTTTTGTAGTTTCGTACAAAAGGAGGAAAAATTAAACATCTGGGTTCCCTCTGCAACGTTTTCCTGACTCTTCTTTTCATGATGTTCTATCTGCAGCATGCCCTTAAATACTACACAAGCATCCAGCTGCAGCTCAGGAGCTGACTTGGAAAGAGATGCTCCTTGTTCAAAAAGTTTGCAGTCTTGTTACTGCTGCACTGCATTTTGGTTTGTGACAGAGTGGGATTTGTAATGCTGCCACACTAGCATGTATGTTGTATGTCGTAATGAGTTTTCTGTTTTCTTTAATTGGATTTTAAATGAAAAATATATGTTGGAGGGATTGGGCAAAGGTATTTGAGTATTTTGGCCACCTAAAATAGTTTGGCCTCTCATTGATTTCCTTTGTTCAGGAACCTGCATTTAAGTGAATGTTCTGTATATTAACCTATTTTAATGCAAAGGGGAAAAAAAAAAAAAAAGAGGAATACACCTATCTGATGTTCTACTCTCCCATTATTAGCTACTTGAGAAATGCAAGCTGTACAGCATTGGTGTAATCCTTTAAACAGGAACTGCCCCAGCTACATGCCTGTACAAGCTCCTTTCTGCTGCTCTGTTGCTGAATTTATTCTTTCTGCAAGAAACATGGTATTTACTACAATATATAGTATTATGCATACAGTATTTGGTGCTGGCCTCTTTCAGAAATTGGATGTCGGATTTTTGAATCACTGGCCATACTAGGGTGTAGTGGAGAGCCATGCCGGAGCAGCTGCTTATGTTTAATACAGCTGGATGGTCTCTGGACACTCCAGCTCCTGATAAACCTTATTCTTGCTTGCTCTGAGTGAGCCAGATCCTCTCTGGAGGACCTGTGCTGGTGGTACTGTTAATGCTTCTCTTCATGTTACCATCACTCTTTTTGTTTTGGCTGATGAGCAGGAGGTACTGTACACTGATTTGGAGCCTGCAGTCTTGCCCGTGTGTTCAGTGCTTCTCCTGGGAAGGAATTACATCTGCTTCAATGCGCCCGTTTGGGACCACACAGTTCACACTTGCATTTAGGCTATTCCAAGCCTATCGTAGCTTGGAGATGGCTCTGGTTTGCTCGCTGCGTATTTCAAAGCTGTGACAGTGCAGTTAAAATGTAATCTCTTCTTTCTCTACCATCAGTCACTCGGCATCCGAAGAAGCCTCTGGCTCTGACTCTGCAAGCCAGTCTGAAAGTGAGCAGGGCAGCGAGCAGGGCAGCGAGTCAAACAGCAGCTCGGAGTCCTCTGAAAGTCAGTCTGAATCCGAAAGTGAATCAACAGGTTCGAAATCCCAGCAGACCCCTCCTGAAACCAAAGAAAAACCGGCCTCTAAGAAGGAAAGGATAGCAGATGTTAAAAAGGTATTGCCCCCACTGCTCTGCATAGCTGTGTTACCCTTGTGCCCAACATGAAAGGGCAGACGGCAGGACCTTAATGAAGCTCTCTTCAACTTCCCCGCCACTTTGCATATTGACCAAACAGCCTTCGACCCCTGGTGTCCCCAAGTCACTCGTTGGCTGTTTGGTCTGTGTGCTTGTGCCCTGCTGGTGTCATCCTTGTGAGCAGGAGCTTGTGTGTTTGATGGAACAACCCTCTGGGCACCAGATAGATAATGATGGGGCTGACTGGTGCGAATGAGGGCAGGTGCCTGTCATCAATACATGACCCTGTCATTTCATCCTCTCCCTCCATCTTTCCACTCCTCTCTCCTATCTGTCCTCTGCCTCAGAAGTAGTAAAGCTTCCCCATGTGATATATAATCAGGAGAATGCTTGTCTAGGATTTGGGCCACTTTGGTTTGTTTCCATCACTGTCTTCCTTTTTGAAAAAAGTAAAGAAAAAAAAAAAGGAGGAGGAAAAAAGCAATTTAACTTTAAATATTTAAATTGTCCAGAACAGTGGTTCTTTGTTGTCGTTTTTTTTCTGCAGCTTCCCAGCTAGCCCCTAGCAATACCCCCTCAAATAGCTGGGTTTGCCCTCCATCTGTTGCTACACAGGCATTGCAGGTGTCTAATGCACTGGTGTCCCTCTGGTTAGCGAGCACCCTCTCCAGTGCAGAAGCTGTGCCTTGGGTACCTGCTTTACCTGAGGGATGGAGGCACCTGAGTAACACACTGTAGTGTGAGGTGAGAGAGAGGAACCCAAATACCCATTTGGAGACAGGAACCTGGTGAACTGAGTTTACTTGGAGGGAGGAAAATCAGGTTAGGTCAGTTATTTTTTGTTTGTTGTGGTGTGTAACTATCATGTTCTTCTTGTTTGCACTTTGTACAGCTTGTTCATGAGAGTGAGTTTTATGGAGAAAGTTGCTATGTATGTAAAGACTGAGAAGGAAGGGTAGGTAGTGCTTTCAGCCTGCGCTCCCCACGTACCTGCAAGGGAGAAGTTAAGGATTTTGTTACCAGCTTCTTCCTCTCACAAATCTCTAGGCTGCCTGCTCAGGTCGTGGCTAAATCTCATGTGTTCAGACTGGCAAGGAAGAATACGTTTATAAGGCCGTTGTGGTAACACAATATTCAAATTTATGTTTTATTGTTGGTAAATGGGGATTAAAGGAAGATTTTCTCTTCCTCTGTGGGCTTCTAAGAGCATGTCCCTGACAATAAACATTAAAATTATCCTATGAGGGAGTGCATCCATACATAGGGTGATAATTAACGTGGATGAAACATGAAAAGGTCAGGGCACCCTCTAATAAGAAAGCCTCTCCCTTCCTTAATTTCTCTGTTAATGGGTGTTTTCCTTAGCTAGGTCTAACCTAGGCGTGTTGATACCTGTTCCCCTTGTATAACCAATGCAATTAATTATTATATTATTGTTTATTTTGTATTTCTGTCTAGATACACCCATGAAGGTGAGGTTAATTTGCATTAGGTGCTATACAGATTTGTCATGGGAATTGATCATCCAAAAACTGTGCCATTTAAAAGATGAAAAGACAAGTTCTTCAAACAGTTCAGGGAGTATTTTGAGTTTTTCTTTCATGTGAATTTATCTCTCTGTACCTGCATGCCCAACAGATATACACCTTCGCAATCTGTCCATTGCAGTGTTATCCCATTACTCTTTTAACAGTAGCAGAAAACTTGCCAGGCTGCAGCCTTGTATTCATCACGCTCTCAATTCCAAGTTGCTGCTGCATCTCGCAGTGTATTTTGATTTCCTTTTCCTGCCAGTGGCTTGCAGAGACATTTGAGGGCTGGAGGGAAAGAGAAGCAGAAGAAGAATGAATAGGTTTAGAAAACTGTGAGAGGATAAGCTTTGCTGAGAGAGAGAGGGATTGTTGATGTAGGTGTTTGAGAGGCATGTTGGTGGTTTGTATCTGCCCTGTAAGTCTTTTGGTGTCCTGTGTCACCAACACAACTCTGCATTCATATCCCTTAGGGCATCAGTTCTTCTTTCCCCCTTCTCCTCCTGTCCATCCAGCAAGAACAAATGCATGCTGTTATACACAGTGTATTAAGCTGTTTAGGGCCTGGTTACAGCAAATAGAGCACAACCATTCCCAGTAGTCAGCTCTGCACATCCACATGTCCCACACTGCCAAACCGCATTCGCATCAGTGCATTCAGGAGAAGAACCAGCAGCACCACCCCCTTGCCTTGCCAAAGGACAGGGTGCCCTGGTCCATTTGCCACCCACGCTGGGCCACAGAATTAACTTTTGAAGTTGCTGCTGCTGATGTCTCGTCACTGGGCTCGTCAGGCAGCTGGTGGGATTTTCCCTACAGAAAGGAATTGTGGTAGAAGCTGTTAGTGACAGTGAATTGTCCTTTTGAGTTGGTGGGTCCATTCATTCCACATGCAAGGTGTTGCCTCCTTATCTTCAGCACCATTGCTTGCAGGGGGGCTGGCTATCTCAACACTCTGTGCTTCAGCCTGAATGAGCTGGAGAGTAATTCATACCCTGGTGGAAAGATGGACCACTGTATAGATAATGCTGAGATAAAACATGTTGCTTTAGAGTGCTACCAAATACCCCCAAATAATCATAATCCTTTTCAGCCAGTTTTTTAAAGTGTCCATCTACTGGTTGCTGATTCCTTAATGGTTTTATGTCGATTTTTTTAAAAACATTCACCATCGAACTTCTAAAATGTCAGAAATAATTGGGGTGAAGCAGGCCTTCTGATGGTCTGTTTATTTTGCAGATGTGGGAAGAATATCCTGATGTTTATGGGGTTAGGAGGTCAAACCGAAGCAGACAAGAACCGTCGCGATTTAATATAAAAGATGAGGTAAGGAAAAAAAAAAAAGAATGAGGGATTACTGAACATATAATAAAACCAGCCAAACCCAAAAAGCAAAGGCAGGTCTCATCTGCATTGCCTTGCAAACACCGAGTCCTAGCTTGGTGCATGGATGTTGGAGCTCACAGTTAAGGTCCCAGTCCTGCAGTTGGATCCACTTGGCTTGTGACCTCTGGAGTCAGCGGGACACTGCGTGGGCTGAGGTCTGCATGCACTGATCTGATTGCTGGAATGGGGTGTAATGCAAGTCATGCTCTGCTGTAGAAACATCCTGGAGAGAATGAGTCCGTGTAAAAAAAAAAATCAAAACCAAACACAACACAATCCAGCCAGGAATAAAGGAAACTTCCCAGAAACAACTCATAACAACAAAACAGTCATTGTTGCCCATCCTGGAATGGATCACGCTGAGAAATGCATTTGTGTGTGTTCAGCTTTATGAACTATCACTTTTCTTTGGTTGAATATTGGGGAGTCTTTTATGTTTCAGTTGGAGGTGACAGTGGTCTGAGCCTGGCAGACAAACCTTCTAATTGTTCCTTTTTCAGAACATTGGTTTTTTTTCTGAAGATGTAGGAGTTAGCTGCTGCCTTCATTTGCATCTAACAGGCTTTCTGCATAGAGTTTTTCATCTGCAGGTCTTCAGGAAGGTTGAGTAGCTGTAGCAGAGGGGGAAGAAAACCAGGGAGAGGCTTAGAACTAGGTACAAAAATAGGCAGTTAGGACTCTGAAGATAAGCAGCCAGATTTTCAGCAGAGTGGGAGCCCAGTGGTGCTTTCTGATGGTCAGGCTATTTGTGCTTCGCCACTGAAATGCGTGTTTTGGTGCTTGAGGGGTCCAAGTCATGTGGCAAACGCAGGTCTCTGGCTCCCTGTTCTGGTGCGTTATTGTTGAGCCTTGCGGCACCCCCAGTGCCACCATCTGCCCCCCCCCGAGACTCCTATGCTGGGTGTCCCGCATAGCAGCAGGTTAGGAAGGGGCTTGGGGCATATGATTGATTTAGCTTTTGTTTTCCTTTTCAAGTTCGGCAAACCCCAGGCTCGCTGGCCGCCTCTCTGTGCGATGCCCCGGCATGCACTGTGCTGGCGATGTCACACCCACCACAGACCTCCGCTGCAGACCCGAGTGCCCTGTTAGGGGCTCAGGTAAGTCCCATCTTTTTTTGTTTTACAATATTACGTGGTTTTGCAAATGTTGTTTTCTTTTTCGATATCTTTATTTCCTACTACTTAAGGTACGATAAAGTTTAAAAAAAAAAAAAATCCGAGATGTAAAAACTTTGCTATACCACAAAATATTGTAAAAAACAAAAAAAAAAAGTCGTCCAAATGACCCCACTGCCACCTTCGTGAAACGGAAAGCCAAAATTAACAAAATTGGACCACCCCCTTACCCTCTCTCTCCCCCAAAGCCACACTGACTGGTCCCTGTAGGGCAACTCCCATCTGCAGCAGAGTCTGATGGAGGGTGTGACGTGTCAGGAGCACAGTGCTGGGGCCTCGCAAAGAGCAGGAGGAGATGGAAAGTCTTGCTTTTGGAAGACCTAAATGCCAGCAGGGAGGAAATAGCATAGCTCGAGCCTGCATGGTGCTGAGCACTCCTTGCTGCTGCTGCAGCTGGCAGAAACCCAAGGCGTTTGACACCTCTTAAGATTGCTTTTTACCTTTACAGGGTTAATCCTGTCGCCAGTGACCTGCTCTTGTGGCTTGCTGCTTGGGACTTCCAGCACAGTGTCTAGGAGCTTTTAATTGCCTCCTTCCCTAACGCTTCTCTGCAGTATTAGCAAACAGCATTACCCAGGCAGCGTGGCAGGCTCAGAGCGCAGAACAAGAATCAGCCATCACACCTCCCCGCGTGCTGCCCCGTGACTCACCCTGGTCAGGGGAGATGGCGCGTAGGTAGAGGTCGTTCAGTTTTTGGGGCACTGTTCAATCACTAGTCTGTCCTCTGAGACCAGCAGTTTGGGTAGGGTTATTTCTGTGTTAGAAATGATTGCCTTCTGGGAACTGCCCAGAGGCCACCGGGCATGTTGTGTAAGTCTCTGAGCTGCAATCGGAGAGGGTGATAACTTGCGATCGATACTGAGGTGTGGGCTGAAAGATCAGGAAGCGAAAGTGCAGTTTTGTGTAGGGGTACAGAGCTGCTCAGAGGACTAGAGCTGTCTCCAGGAATGAGAGCACATGTGAATTTTTTAGTAAAAACAGTACTTGCCCATGTGTTTTCTTTGCAGTTAATAAATCAGCTTCAGGTTTCAGCCAGGGGATGTGAGACATGCAGAGCCAGGTGCCTTTCAGAGTATTCTGGGGCAGCTGAGAAATAAATGTACCCAAAACAGACACAGTCTTTTTACTATAAAAAGGATGGTTTCAGATTGGAGTTAGTAATAACTGGCATGGTGCATCTTTTCTGTGAGAGACCACAAGTCACACACCAGAGGTGTTCCCAAAATACAGTTGGTTTTATTATTGAAAAAAAATTCTGCTCATTTGCATTTTGACCAATGCTCTGCCTCATGTATTCTCTGGAAGTTCAAACACTACCAATATCACTGGGAAAAAGAAGTTCAGAAGGCATAAGAAAACTAACCTGGCAAGCTGAGATTCTCCAGCTTTTCTGGAGCACTAGAGCTTGGCCTCTGTTAAGCCTGAAATGAGCAAATCCTCACTTGACTTTAGTCTGAAATGTTTCTTTCAGCCTGTTTAAGCAAGTCTTCATCTCTCCTAGTAGGCAGCGTGAGCTCAAGAGGCTCACCTGGACCATGCCAGTGGCCTTGAGTTTCCATTTCTTCTGCCCTGGGCTAGCAGTGAGGACACTCATGGACAATCTGTAGGACCAGAACTTCAAAGCTGCTGCTGTGTTGCTCTGCTTGGTGCTATCTATGCATGCAGCATCATTATGTTTTGTACAGTGTTGCTCCACAGCAAAATATAGCATAATTAATGTAGTAAAAGTGTGTGCACTTTATGTGTTGGGAGAGAGAAAGAATAAATTAGATGGGAGGATTCAATGAAGCATGGAGAGGGAAGGCTGATCCCTTCAGCTGGAGGTGGGGAAAGCAAACTGTAAGACTCCTGTTCCTATTCCAGTTGGAAGTAGTGGTGCAGGAATAAGTTGAGCATGTTTGTAGTGTTTGGTAGGGAAAGGGTGAACTAGGGAAGGCAAGTTATCTTTCCCCTTGGCCACAGCAGCAGCACCCCAGAGGGGCAGCCTGAGCCCAGCACAGTTTTGCCAGTGCTGGTACTCAGGCTCTGAGAGTGAGCAATGTGCCGCCAGCTGGGCTGACAAAAGCCCTGGTGGGGACTGGAGACTGATTTTGTCAGCTTAGCTTGTGTCATTCAGGGAGGTGACGTTATTAAAATTCCAAGTTGCATGTGATTTCCTAACTTGTCTGCATCCTGATGGTGGATGGCAGGCTGGAGTGCAGACAGGACCTCAGGTACGTGCTCTGGACCTGGCGTGCTCCCAGCTCTCTGGTTATCATCTGCACTTCCTTAACCGAGGAATTTACCACCAGTCAGAGCCTGTAGGTTGCTGTTGATACAAGCACAAGCTCTGTTTGTGCTGCAGAGTCCAGGGCAGAGGTGCAAATCTCACCCTTGGGCTGATTTGAACAAGTCAGCTTAGAGTTTTGCAGCTGGGTCCTGAAATGTGGATTTAAGTGGAATTAAGAGGTTGCTAAAATGTGCTTATGCTTTAAAAAAAAAATATTTATTATTTCTGTATAAAATGGTAGAAAGCTGGACCCTGGCACTGCAGGGTCAGAATGCCAGGAGGAGTTGGTGAGAAGGAGACGCGGGTCAGTGGTAAGCAAGGGAGCAGGGAGGAGAGGCTGAGTCACTGGTGGCTGCACGGGGCTGCAGGCACGGAGCTTCCAGGCACTCGGGCAGGGAGGATGTGGGAGCGCAAGGCAGGCAGATGACTCAGGCTGGGGACTGGCTGCGTCAGAGGAGATAGAGCTGGGCTTGACACAAATCCAAAAAAGACAATGGTGTCTTTGAAAAACGTAACTGAAAGTGCCTGAATTGCAGTCACAAGTTAAATTTTTCAAGGCAGGAAGAGGTGAGGAAAAGACGAGTTGTTAAGAGATGAGCATCAGCTTTGTAGAGACAGTGACAGAGCAGGGGGAGAGTAGAGGCGTTAGGAAAATGGACACTAGAAACTTGGAAAATGAGATTTTGGCAAAGAAGTGGAGTTAGTTTCAAAGAGCCAAAGGTTGTATTTGGTTTTCTCCAAATCTGATCTTCTCTGACGCAGAGCAGAATTAAAATCCACCTCTCTTTACTTGTGGTTTGCCAAAAGACAGCAAAAAATAAATCTGCATTGAGGGAAAGCTCTCAAAAACCATGCCAAATGGAATGGCAAAGCATCATGCTTCAGAAGGGGGATAAGAGATTAAAAGAGAAAAAGAAAATTGAGGACTTCTAAACTCTGCTTGTTGAAACTGAAATCTGTGGAATGCTTGGCTTATCTTGCAAGGGTAGGTAGGGCTCTCCATGGTGTTTGCCAGTCACTTGCTTCCTGGATGCTTGGTAAATAAGACAGGAATTTCAGGCAGGGCTGTGAAACACGTGGATGAACAGGCATTTGTAGTAAGATATGGTGCAAATGGTGTTATTGTGTCACATGTAAATCTGACACCAAACCACAGTGAAATTCAGCAAAGCTCTTGGTCTAACATGGCATCCAGTATTTCAGTTTATTTTAATGGAAACACTGATGCAAGCGAGAGGGAAATTTCTGTTGGTGGAAGGGAAGCTGGAAAATGGAAATAAAGGATGCAGAAAGCAAGCAGAGGGGTGGGCCATGGCTCTCCAGAGCCTCGAGTTTTTCATGTTGCAGCTCACACCATTTCACAAAATCCTGGTGTGAACAGCGCTCGGTTGCAAGCTTTGCTAGCTGTACCAGGAGGGTGGTGGGCGTACCAGGAGGTGCAAACTGAGGTACCCGTGGTCATGGACAGACATTACCTAGAGCTAAAGCTGAATACTGCAGCAAAACCAGTATGAAGCGGAAGATTTTCAACAAGTGTGTAAAGCAAGCAGTCTTGTAGACTGCTTCTATAATTTTAATGCTCCTTTAGAAATCTCGCATTGGTTTCTTTAGTTTTCTCCCTGCCAATTTCAAGTGTATAAGGCAAAGTCACCTCTGGGTTGAAGGGTGTTATTTGTGTGGTAATCTGTTTTTATGGTTGACTAGTTTTTACGAAAATGGGGTTGTATACAACCCGCCTAAAGATTATTCTTTTTTTAGCTATCTTGGTCTATGGGAGTTAATGACACCCACACTTAAAATAGTACATCAAGTAGGTAGAATATCTCTAGATATATTTAGCCAGAGAGACTTCACTGGTGGAGGCTGGAGGATTAGGAGAGGGGAAAGCAGCAGAGCATGGCTCTGCCCCAGTCAGGTCCTCAGTGACTCAGGAAAGCAAGGACACTTGTGATGAGAATATTGTCTTTTTATTAGAATTTCCTTCCTTATAGGAGTTTCTCTAATGAAGGCAGAGATCATAATGCATTTGTGTGGCTGCGAAAGTTTCTGCAATCACAGAAACTAAGCCTGAACGCCACCAAATATTGCAGGATTCCTGCCAAAATGGCAAGTATGGGCACTTGTGAAACTACATTCAGCCACTGCACTTTTCAGTTAAAAGCTTTGTAAAACAGCTGAGCCTTAGCACTGTGGCAGGCCCTGAAAGTGCTGTCCAGAAAACACAAAGTCATGCTGCTGCCTGATTCTCGAGCGTCAGGTGGGAGCAATGCTCACCTTGCAACATCGGCAGAGGTGGCAGCAGCTGAGCCGCCCTCCCTGTCTCTCTCTGGGGTATGTTTTGCCTCTAGTGCAAGGCTTGGTGAGTTAAATTCACCCCATGGTTTTGTAATCCATGGGGTATTGCACACATTGCAGGTCTGCCTTGCCACTGTTGAGATGGCATCTGCCAGGTATTGGAGGTTGATGCTGAGGGGGAGGTGGGTTGCAGCCTTGTGCATCCCAAGCTCAGGAACTCCAAGACAGATGTTGTAGTAAAGCTGTCCAGCGTTTTTGCAGAGTTACCTTCTTCGTGCTGAGAGCACAGCGGCATTAACCCTGCAGCCGAGGCGGCACAGAGGGAAGGGTACTGGGGAACTGGCTGCTCTTTTGCAGCCCCGTCGCACCAAAGCATCCTTCCAGCGCTGCAGTGAAAGACCAGTCGGGCTGTGTCCGAGCTCAGACCGCGTGCATGCGTTTCAGTTGCGTCCTTGAGGAGACAGTTCAGAGTGAAGCCTACAACCTGATTTTCTTTCTTTTCAATTAAAGGCAAGTAGTGAATCTGAAAATGAGAGCCCAAAAAGAAGAGGCCAGAAGCAAATGAAAAAAACGTAAGTTTCTAGGGAAAGGGTTCTGAATGGTGGTACTTTGTTTTGTTTTATTTTTCAGAATAGTGGTGTTGGATTGTTTGAGAGGTGTTGTCAACAAGACAGTGAGCTTGTAAAATAAATTAATGAATATTTCCAGTAATAATACTTTGGATGACTGAAATTGAAATATGAATATGGATCTACAGATGGATGCAATTTCCCAACTTTTCTTTTGTTTACATTTTCCCACTTTGCCTGTGATGGAACCAGAACAAGTCAGGTTCACTTTCTGTTGTCAGTCTTTTAGTTACTTATTCTCCTTCAGAGATACTTAAAATAGTTTAATCCCTTCTCCTCCCACCTTTTTGATTAACAGAGATTAAAATGCCAAACTTATCCTCTTTTATCTTTTATAACCCTCTGCTAAAACAAAAGAACTTCCATAAAGGATATTTTGGATGTCTGATCACTGTAACTGAGTTCACTTATGGTCATATTTTACTGCCTTTTTCCATCTAATAAGTACTTTTTAGTTTTTCAAAACACTAAGGTGAACTGAAGGGAACTACAAGCTGCCTGCTGGAGAAAACTTAAACACAGCCACATGATCCTGCTCCCTTTCTCCTGTTTCTTGTCTTTTAATTTTTCATTTAGTTGTACACATCAGTGCAGGAGGGAAGGTAATAAAGTGCAGGGAGGACTGTGGTAGTATGGACCTTTCTCTCCTGGGCAAGGGGAATAATCCCTGTGGACTCTCCACATCCACTTGGAGAGAAGAGGGATTCCTTCAAAGGGTATTTCGGAGCTGCAGCTTTGCTCTGAATTGCCGGCAGAGAACATGCTTCCTTCTACTAATGGTATGGTGTGATTTGGCTTCATGCTTGGAAACTTTAATTGCCTGAATTTAGATGGCAGGAGACTTCTTGCTCTGTTTTCCAGGCTAGAAGGAGATCATGTAACAGTGCACATTGTGGCTCATACTCCCTAAGTGAAAGTGAGCACTTCTCAAGATTTTTCCAGCTCATTTCAGAAATGCAGAAGTGGAAAAGAAAAATAAATAAATTGAAGCACTTGCCCACTGAGTTGTAAGAAGTACAGCTCTGCCACAAGCACTGTTGTAGTATGTGTTAAGAGCCACTCTCACTCAAGATATACTGCCGCTACATGAACTAAAACCCATGTGACTGAGGCTTCTTCCTAAAAGCAGAGAATCACACCACAAAATTCCCCATGCATTGCACTGAACAACTAAGAGTGCAGTTTTGAGTTTTTTCTCGTAATTATGGCCTGCTAGTATTAACCTAGATGGCTTGGATATCTGCTTAGCCAAGTATTTGTGTTGAAATATGATTGCCATTCATGACCTACATTTCTGACCATAGAAGTAAATGGAAAAGAGAGGTCTCTGGTGAAGAAGAGGATGAAGATGGAGGGGAGCAAGGCACCAGTGGAGAGAGTGAGCCTGAACCGAAGAAAGTTAAAGCAAGAAGACCTGCCCAAAGGAGGTAAGGAGTGGTTGGTTTAATCTATCTCTTTTTCTACATATGTCTTTTCTGCCTGTGCTGGGTGGAGAGGTAATCTCTATTTGTCGCTGAAGAATGGGGTTTTTTTCTGCAATATTACCCTTGTTTACAACCTAGTAAACCTAGGACCTAGTTACTCTCTGGTCTACCCATTTCATGCTCCAGTGAGTGATGCAGTGGTTTCCATGGTAGTTGGAGTAGACTAAATCCCTAGGAGTCTAATATTTGAGATTCATGCTTTCTTAAAGACTTACTAAAAGGGATGATTATGTAAAACATGTTGTATTTATGTTTATTAATTCTTATTTTAGAACAGTGGCCAAAACTAGTGTTAAAAAGCCTCACAAAACCCAGCGTGGGAAGAAGAGAAAGAAACCAGACTCATCTGAAGATGATGATGATGATGAAGATGATGAGACTCCCAAGAGACAAACTCGACGAAGAGCAGCCAAAAATGTCAGGTATCAAGAAGTATGGGGTTGATGATGAGAGCTGGCTGGCTGGGGAAGAGGGGGCACCCCAAATTCCCTGCCCTAGGCACTGACTCCCTGTGTGATCCTGCAGAGAGACTCTCCTCTGCCCTGCAGATTTCTGTTGGCTGAGATGTAGTTCTTTTGACAGGTTCATGCTGCGAACATCTGATTTCTCTTTACCTTGTTTTGCCATCTCTAAAGGAGGGAATATTTACCAGTCCCGCTTAGAGAAACGTGAGGAGGTTTGCATAATGTTTCTAAAGTACTCTCAGATGAGATTAAGAATTACAAATAATAGATTAAAGTGAGTAAAATGAGCTGTGCTAGATTGGACCAGTTGTCTGAAAGTGGCTGATAGGTGTCATGGTTTACCCCCAGCCAGCAACTAAGCACCACGCAGCCGCTCACTCACTGCCCACCCCCCCAGTGGGATGGGGGAGAAAATTGGGAAAAGAAGTAAAACTCGTGGGTTGAGATAAGAACAGTTTAATAGAACAGAAAAGAAGAAACTAATAATGGTAATGATAACACTAACAAAATGACAACAGCAATAATAAAAGGATTGGAATGTACAAATGATGCGCAGTGCAATTGCTCACCACCTGCCAGTTGACACCCAGTTAGTCCCTGAGTGGCGATCCCCCACCCCCACTTCCCCCAGTTTATACACTAGATGTGACGTCCCACGGTATGGAATACCGTGTTGGCCAGTTTGGGTCAGCTGCCCTGGCTGTGTCCTGTGCCACCTTCTTGTGCCCCTCCAGCTTTCTTGCTGGCTGGGCATGAGAAGCTGAAAAATCCTTGACTTTAGACTAAACACTACTTAGCAACAACTGAAAACATCAGTGTTACCAACATTGTTCTCATACTGAACTCAAAACACAGCACTGTACCAGCTACTAGGAAGACAATTAACTCTATCCCAGCTGAAACCAGGACATAGGTAATGCCTTGGGACAGAGCATTGAGACATAGTGGAGGTAAAGCATTATCCATTCCCCAATATACCTTCTCACGTTTTGGCAGTCCTAGTAAGGGACTCACAAAGAGCCACCTAAGACTATTTTTTGGTGGTTAAATGTTCATCAAAGATGAGAAGTGTAGTTCCTAGGGCAGTGTAGGCACCCATGCAGCCTTTCGATGCTCTGCAACCTCCATTGTTAAACATAAAATAATCTTTCACTGGATAGAGGAGACTTTCTGTATTGGTGGTCTTGCTTCTGCTGCAGGGATTGTTCCACCTCCTCATGAAGCATCTGGTGTTGGCCATGGTCAGAAAAAGTATATGGACAAGATGGAGTATTAATCTGATAAAGTGTAGATATCTGAGTGTATCAGGGAAAAGTACTGACTGGCTAGCTTAAGAAATGCATGTGGTGAACATGCACTGAACCCCAGGATAAATGCTGGAGAAGGCTTGCTCCAGTCCATGCCATTCTGTGTGTTTCTGGACTGGGAAGAGTCAAGGGCTTTTTTATCAGTTTGGTTTTGATCTTGTTCAGTTACAAAGAAGATGATGATTTTGAGACGGATTCTGATGACCTGATAGAGATGACTGGGGAAGGAGCTGATGAACAACAAGACAACAGTGAAACTATTGAGAAAGTCTTGGACATCAGGCTTGGAAAAAAAGGAGGTGCGTAGCTCTGGAAAAAGCCTTTATTTCTGATGTCAATCATGTGCACTCACAGTTTCTCTTGAGCTGGTGCAATGCTTTTGCAGCTTCAAAGTGGGGGCAAGGGTTGTTTCAGTGCTCTTCACCCTTTCCTCTATGCCTCTTATTTATGTCTTCTAGCAGCTTTTGTAAAATCTAGTATTGAAAAACCTAAAATGTCAAGTTTATGTGCTTGGCAGCTTTCATTTAGTGTGCACGCATTTTAAAGACAGTCATTGTTCTGTAATTCTTGCTTTTCTCCTCTTTGAAATATAAAATAGATCTTCCAGTAGGGTCAGTTTTCATAGCTCCATTGACAAAGCCATAATGAAAATAAAGCCACTGTTTTGTTCTCATAGCCTTACAAAAGTGTTTTTGTAGAACTGAATGGTCTTGAACATTTTCAAGAGACCTTTGAATTATACTTAAAGAAAAAGCATTTATGATAGATTTAAAAAGATTCTGTTGTATGGAAAACTTTTGTGTGCCTGTCTTACTGGGTTGCAGAATCTGTAGGATATTCTTTGTGCTGTCACAAAAGATGTATTAGAAAAATAACTTTCTGCTCTAATGCAGTTCGTGTCCAGTGCTTGATAACAAAGGTACCGACTGCAGCCTGATTTCTTTTGCAGCCACTGGTGCTTCCACCACAGTGTATGCAACTGAAGCCAATGGCAACCCAAGCGCTGGCTTTGATCCTGAAAAGGATGAGGGAGAAGTTCAGTACCTGATCAAATGGAAAGGCTGGTCATACATCCATAGCACATGGGAGAGTGAAGAGTCCCTGCAGCAGCAGAAAGTGAAGGGCCTGAAAAAGCTAGAAAACTTCAAGAAAAAAGAGGAGGAGATCAAGCAATGGTATGCTTTACTTCAAGCAGTGATTTGGCCTTGGGCAGATCTTTTTTATCCAGAGGTTTGCAGAGTCATGACTGAAAACATTTGATTTCTTCTTGCAAAGCATGTTTCATCTAAAGTAATTGTTTTCGGTGCACAACACTCACGTCTCTCTTTGCCTACTGATGAACATCCCCCCTCACAGAGATGAGGTCTGTGGCTGTGGTGTTGAAAGAGAGAGGAAGAGGCATGAAATCCACAAAATTGCCACTTCCCAGGCTTAAGGATTGGACAACAAATAAGTGGTGCACAGATTCTCCTGGCCCAGGAGGTGGCATGAGGGCCTGCAGCCTTATTAACCCTTGTAAATTATGGACTTGTCTATATGCAAGTTTTTGCATCAGTTTATGTCTGACCTCCCCAGGAACTGTAAGGGGAGCTACGGTGTTTTTCCAAACTGATAAAGCTGGAGTAGCAGCTTCCGTCTCTGATTCTGGTTTTGAGACTGATTCTTGCAGCAGAATAAGGCGTCATTTAACAGAGAGACATTATGAACATCTCTGACATTTGCTTCTCAGTAATGATTTATGATTTAGGAAGCTTTAAGAAACATGTCCTATAAGGAGTAGCCTGCTTCAGTGACTTGTCTGAATGGCAGAACCATGTAGGAAAGTAGTATTTCTATATGTGGCCTCCATGAGCATTATGACAGAAGCATTCTAGTGTTTTTTTGTTTTGGATTTTTTTGCATCTAGGCTGGGCAAGGTATCACCTGAAGATGTAGAATATTTCAACTGCCAGCAAGAGCTAGCTTCAGAGCTGAACAAACAGTATCAAATAGTGGAGAGAGTAATTGGTAAGTGAACCCAACACTTTTGTAAAGGGGTAAAGTAAGATGTGGGAACTTCAGTCTCTTGCGACAGTAGAATGAATGCATGTCTCTTTCTTCTTCCCTGTCCTCCAGTATCTCTGGAGAAAAAAACTGGTGTTAAGTATATTTCAGTGTGTGAAATTCAGGGATATGAACAGTAGAAATCCAGGTTTACTGATTTTTATTTACAAGCAATACAAATCAATCACTCTCTTTGCCTGGAGTATGGGATCATACACTAGTTTGCAAGGGGATGTTGAAGTTGCTGCTGCTAAAGTTCTTTGACTTCAGCCCTTTGGATGCAAGGTGTTTGCATCCAAAGCAGCAGTACAGGCCTGGCTTTTGTGAGAACCACTTTCTGTGACGTGGTTGAGGATGTGGTTAGGCTGCAAGGCAGCTCAGGGGTTAGATTTTCATGATTACTTATTAAAAATAAAAACAGGACTTACTGAGCACTTCAGTAATATCACAGTCACATCAGTCAGAGATGCCAGCATCCAGTTGTTTTGGGAATTGGCTTGGGGAGCTGTTGAACCTGTTTCCATACCATTCCTATACAAACACATGGGGTGTGTGGCAGTGGCAGCCGTCCTGCCCTGCTCCCTCTGCTGGCTGCCAGCACTCCAAACCCTTCCTTCCCTTCTCTCTCCAAACACAGCTGTGAAGACCAGCAAGTCTGCGACAGGGCATTCAGATTTCCCAGGTAAAGGAGCATTTTTTTTGGTCCCTCCAAACTTTTCCTTCTAGCCGAGACCTGTCTTGTGGTTGTACAGGTGGTTCAGACTGCCCCTGTGAACCATGCTTGTGGTTCAGCCACAGAACCACAGTTGCTGAGGTTTGGGCTTTTTTGCATATTTTGCAGCAAACAGTCGCAAAACATCCTCAAATGACCCAGAATACCTGTGTAAGTGGATGGGGCTGCCCTATGCCGAGTGCAGCTGGGAAGACGAGGCTCTGATAAGCAAGAAATTTCAGCACTGCATTGACAGCTTCAACAATCGTAACAACTCCAAAACGATTCCTACCCGGGACTGCAAGGTTTGCTTGCTTCTCTCCTGTTGCTGGGTTTCTCCAGGCTGGGTGATGACGCAAGCAGTGGGAACGTGAAGTTTTGTCATGATAAAAGTCAGAGAACATTTTCCCATCCTCCCACTGGTGTTTGAATGGTGGTTTGCTCTTCTTGTATTGTACTTCAGGCAGAGATGTGAACCCCCTTTTGGTTTCATTTACTCTGCACGTAGTGAGAACATTATGTCCCCCTGGGGAGTGGGAGGCTTAATTAATTCTTGCAAAGTGCTTCCTCCTCAGAAGAAGCTGCTGCCGAAATGCAAAGTTTTAATATCAGTTGGATGAAAAAACAGCACACCTGGGAAAAGAGAAAACCTGCAAGATGCTGATATAGTGGAGGAGAGGGACAGAGATAAAGGGAGAAAACCCAGAGGACAAAAAAGAAAGTGGAGCTTGTTCCATCTAGTGTGCATTATGTACAGCTTACTGCACTCTTGCAGGGACTCACAGCCGTGGTCATCAGAACCAGAGGACAGCAGGCAAAACATAATACTGTGGAGTGGTTTTCTGAACTGCAGACATAAGCGCTGGCTAGGAAAATGTGGATGGACTTTAACCAATGAACAGATATATATTCATTGCTGAATTTTCAATCTTCCTTTCTTCAGTGGGTTTACAGCAGTGTGCTTACCTTCTTTTGCAGGTGTTGAAGCAGAGACCGAGGTTTGTTGCCTTGAAGAAACAGCCTTCTTACATTGGTGGTGAGAACCTGGAGCTGCGAGATTACCAGCTGGAGGGCCTCAACTGGCTTGCTCACTCATGGTGCAAGTACGTACAGCTGCTTTGTGACGTTTGTTTTGTGTCTCCTGGGTTTTGTCCCAGTAGGATCTGGCCTTCTTGTTTTCAGGTGAGGTCTTCACCTGGCCCTCTTCTGCAGGTTGAAGGATTTCGAATGTTATCATGCCCAGCTGCATTGCAGACACCGCAAGCAGAAACCATCTAAAGCATGAGCCTAAGAAACCTTGTGCAAAAACAAAAATCATTTTCCCTGTCTGGGCCTGTTCATGCGCTGGACTTGGTTGTTGTGTGAGCCTACTATGTATCAGCCCTAATTTTCCATTGCCTTAACTGAAAAAAAGGTTTCTGGCTCAGCATGCTTACACACTCGTTGAAGTCTTTGAGAAATGTCCTTCTAAAATTAGGTCACCGACTCCCCTCTACCTTTGTCTTTGTCCTTGCTTGCCAGTTTGGAGTCATTATAGTCTGTTCATTTTTACAAGTTATTATGCCATGTACAGTCTGGATGTCCCTGGGATCCACTCAGAAGTGTTCAGATAAATGTTTTTGCACTGCCCCCTTTCTGCCCCTGTTGTGGATTGCTATTCATGCTGGTGCACAGTAAATTAGTAGTGGCAGAAACATGCACTCAGACAGGATTTGTGTTTGTTCTCTTCCTTTTCAGGAACAACAGTGTGATCCTGGCTGATGAAATGGGCCTGGGCAAGACAATTCAGACAATATCATTCCTGTCATACCTCTTCCATCAGCACCAGCTGTATGGCCCTTTCCTTGTTGTGGTGCCCTTGTCCACTCTCACCTCATGGCAGAGAGAGTTTGAAGTGTGGGCACCCGAGATAAATGTGGTGGTTTACATCGGAGACCTCATGAGCAGGAACATGGTGTGTAATCAGAAAGCAAAGGATGTGGGGTTGGGTAGAAACGCTGGGTGCAAAGCAGCAGCTTCTGTGTAACATGGGTGACACACATTCTGCTGGAGAGGCTGACGGATACTACTAGCAGTACTGCAGGCAGCTAAAGCTGGTGTAGCTGCGCTCTTGGGTATAATTCGCTGCTGCGGGGACTTTCCTACCTTATTCCCCCTCTTAGAGTGAGCACAGGAGTATTGGCCTCTCTCAGAGAGTCTGGAAACCACTACTGCGCTGGGCTGAAACATGCTGCAGTAAGGACTATAGCAGTGTAAAAGTGCTTGCCTCCTATGTTCTGAATTATTCGGATGACAAAGCACACAAATGTTGTGGGTCTAGTGGTGTCAATAATGAGGTGATGCATTCATTTGGCAGATGGGGGTAATGTCACAATAGCAAGTGGTTTGACCTTATTTTGTTACCTGCACAAGGGCAGTTGAACCATGTGTACACTAAAACAAGCTGCTCCTTGGGCGTGCTGAGCTCATCAAATGGCACCCTGAACAACAGGGTTTTGGATTTGGTTGGAGTCTCTGGCTATAGCTACACTAAAATAACAATTGTTAACTCTTTCGATAACATTGGTCAAAATTAACATTTGTCTCCGCTCACAGATACGTGAATATGAGTGGATCCACTCTCAGTCTAAAAGGTTGAAATTCAATGCACTTATTACAACATATGAGATCCTTCTCAAGGATAAGGTGAGTAACGGTCCAAGGATGTTTTTATTCAGACTTTCTCTCACATGCAAAGGGGGAAGCCAGCCCCCAACTAGTGGGTTTCACCTCGTTCCTCTGTGGTGATGGAGAACACACAGCTACTATTTGCTTTTGCTTGCCGGTAATTCAGAGGGAATGTGGGACACCTGTTATAGTGTCTTCACTCTTGTACTGCACAGCTGTGTTATTGTTTCTACTTGTAAGACACCAGGCAGGGCAGTAGCTGGATTTTACCTGGTTTTATTTAGGCTAGTTAAAAGGACAAAATGTTATACTGAACCACTGGCCACACTGTTAACAATATCTGGGTTTTTTCACTTAGGAGAAATCTGTCTGCTTAGGAAATGCTCATCAGCCCAGCCAGTGCATCACTGAGTCCTAGCAGAAAACAAAAAGCTTAATAGTAATGTGAAAAAACAAACAAAAAAATTAAATCAAAACTCTCGGGTTACCTTAACTTTATAGGCTTGTTTGTCTGCTCTCCTGCTGCTGCTCCAGTGGGGCTAGTGCTACAGCAGGGCCCCAGGGGCATGCAGAAAGGAAGGATTAGGGGTCTGGGGCAGGACTCTGCTTTCTGGGTAAAGCAAAGTTCGATTAAAATAGGTATACTTGCTGAAAGGCTATTCAGATATGGCAGGAGCACTATACAGTATGGCTAATTTTCACCTTTCCTTTCCAGGAAGGCAAAACTAGTGTAGGTATCTTGGTCCCAAGGTTATGTTAACAAGAAACTCTTGTGACCCCAACTCCGTTGGTGGTGGGTCCAGCAGGAGGGCTAGGGCAGGACATCCTGGAAAGCACACACTGCAGTGCTTTCTTGCCATGGAGAGGCAGGCATGTGCAAGGTAGTAGGGCTTGTCTGACCCATTGTCTCCTTGGGGCCTGTTTTTTTAATCTTCTTTTCCTCCAGGCTGTTTTGGGAAGTATTAACTGGGCCTTTCTAGGCGTGGATGAAGCCCATCGGTTGAAAAATGATGACTCTCTGCTGTACAAAACGTTGATTGATTTCAAGTCCAACCACAGGCTGCTGATCACTGGCACCCCACTTCAAAATTCACTCAAAGAGCTCTGGTCTCTGCTGCATTTCATCATGCCGGAGAAGTAAGTCTCCTTTTGGTCCTTCAAAAAACAACTCTGTGTCCATTCTTGTCTGTTAAATAGACTTGAGGGAGTGCAGAATGGCAGAAATTCCTGAATTAAACTCAGTGGAGTTAGAGCAATGAAAGGGGAACAAACATTGGTGGGGAAAATCAGAGGTTAAATGACTAACACATGGCATATTTCTGGCAGCAAATTGAATGGGGAAACCTAATACACGCCTTTCAAATCTGTGTGCTGTCTTAGCGCCACCTCTAAAAAGCTAAAACTTGTTTTAAGCAGTCATCTCGACCATTTCTGAGGTTTCCAGTACATTGCGGTTCAGCCATCCTCGCCAACCATTTTATGGCAGTCTCTGGGAGTATTGCTCAAGGACGGTGCTGTCTAGCTGATTGTTTGCCTGTCCACATTATAACAAATGTTTTGTTTTCTTTAAAACAAAATGGGCTATGTGCATTGCTAAGACTAAAACAAGCATGCCCCAAAACTCACTAAAATTATGTTTGACTGCAAAAAGAGCTGTCCCCCACATTGTTTTTGTTGGATCATAGAAAGAGTGAAGGAAAGGTTTGAGGTCTCCCAAGTGGAGGAGAAGAGCAGATCTCCACATTTCAAAGGAGCTGTTGGAGGAAGCAGCAATCCAAAAGAGCCCTCAGAGCAGTGTAAAACATAGTGCAGTTGTCAAAGCCCTGCCTAGGGGATGGCACTGTGGAAAGTTCAGAAACTGCTGCCAGGTAAATGCCAGCAGGAGACAGCAGAGCAGAATACTGGAACACTTGGGATTTTGGGTCCTGGGAGTTAGTGTGAAGCTCAAAGATAAGATGTTAGGAAGGCACCTAAGCCCAGAGAGTTCTTAGCTTTGCCACCAATCTGTTCAGTTAGCCAGAGCAGAGTGAACCATTTATCCTCCACTGTATCTCCATTAAATTGATGATCTCCTGTCTTGTGCAGCAGGAGCATATCCGATAGATGCTGTTTGGTGCGATAAGACAAGAGGTATTCTGACTCCTCTCTGCTCCTCGTTTCTGTTGCTAGGTTTGAGTTCTGGGAAGATTTTGAAGAGGATCACGGGAAGGGTAGAGAGAATGGCTACCAGAGCCTTCACAAAGTCCTGGAGCCATTTCTCCTACGCAGAGTGAAGAAGGATGTGGAGAAATCTTTGCCAGCCAAAGTGGAGCAGATCCTCCGGGTGGAAATGTCTGCTTTGCAGAAACAGTATTACAAGTGAGTCATTAAGTTATGGGGAGTGCCAGTAGAAATGGGTACATCTTTCCAGTGCCTTGGGAATGTGTTTCAGTATAGCTTGTCCTTCAGAATGCAATGTGGCAGCTGTCACTTGTAGTACCAGGAGCTTCCCAGTAGGAATCTGAGGTAGTGTAGTTGGTATCTTTCCCTCTACAAAAGCATCTCCAGACCACTGGAGATGCTTTCGTAGAGTGATACAATTCAGCTGGTCAGCTTTGCAGGACAGAGGCTATGTCTTTCCTGGGGGAGTAAAGCTCCCCACAAAATTGGGGTGCTGTTTAATGTTAAACTGTAATAATATCAATAGGAAAGGAAGATCAGGGTTTCTAGTGAGGAAACAGCAGTATTCTGCAGAAGAACTGAAGAGAGATGGAGGGAGGGAAGTAGACTGATGCCTGAATAAGGTGTCTTTGAAGGTTTTGTTCCTCCAAGACTCCAGCATGCCCGCTCTGCACTGTGAAATGATCTCGACTTCTCATTTTCCTGCCTGCAGGTGGATTTTGACAAGAAACTACAAAGCTCTTTCAAAGGGAACGAGGGGGAGCACATCAGGTTTTCTGAACATTGTGATGGAGTTGAAAAAGTGCTGCAACCATTGCTACCTTATCAAACCTCCTGAGGAAAACGAGAGAGAGAATGGCCTTGAGACCCTGCAGGTGGGCAGTGTCTTTGGTTACCACCTTTTTTCCTTAACTTTCCTTTTTCTTCTGTCCTTCCACCAAGATAAGATCTGGTGAAGCTTTAGCTTCTGCAGCTTCTCCATTAGAAACAGTGATCACAGCTAAGCCACTTGAATTTCCAGCCCTCCAATTCCACTGTAGGCAATGTTTTTTGGCCATCTAGAGTAGGAGTTGCATGCAATATAAGATCTATCTTGGATGGTTCATTATATGTGTGGCCTCTGCTGTGTAAATCCAGATGATTTGATTAGAAATGTATGGGACAAGCACGACCCCAAAAGAACCAGATCTCTGCATGTCTCTGTGTAATGTACGTAAGGGTAAGACTGGAAAGCATCAGCTGGAATGACGGTTACTCCTTCAGTCTCTGATCAGGAGCAGTGGAAAACTAATCCTCTTGGACAAGCTGCTGACCAGGCTGCGGGAGAGAGGCAACAGAGTGCTGATCTTCTCCCAGATGGTGAGGATGCTGGACATCTTGGCAGAGTACCTGACTATCAAACACTACCCTTTTCAGGTGAGAAACATCACCATGGAAAACAGTGGGGTTGACTTAAGTGCAAGAAAATGCAGTGGGAAGCCTGGGCAATGGGAGTCACTGAGTTTCCCAGAGACTGGTGACTGGGATTACAGGTTGCACTTATTGAAATACACTGGAGGGAACTGGGAAGTCCCTTCATTTCAGTGCAGCCCCATCTCTGCAAAACGCCTCCTCTGACAGGCCCCTGCTTCGGGCTGTGTCCTGTGATAAACCCCGAGGAGAGGATAAAAAACGCAGAGACCCTGGCTGGGAGCCTGTAACGGGAGCTGCAGTGTCACCCGCCGTGTGACTGTTGCCTGAGCATACACCCCTCCTGCCCTCGCAGCACAGCGGGCTAAGGCAGTGCAGTTATTTTTAATTGGCGGTTATTTTTAATGATTAAATGCTGCAGGCAGGGAAGGGGGCTGTTGGGCTCCCAGAACTTGGGTGCAGCAGTTCCTCAGGGCTCCTTTACCTTCTTTCTTTTATCATTATTGTTGATTTTTCTAGCGCTTGGACGGCTCGATCAAAGGGGAGATCCGAAAGCAGGCGCTGGACCACTTCAACGCTGACGGCTCTGAGGTACCGCAGCTGGGGCTGTCCTGCCTCGGAAGGGTCTGGGTGGGCTGCCTGAGCCGCAGGCATTTACAGCTGAGCTGCAGGTGGTGACTGCCAAGAGGGGATTAGTTCAGTTCATTTCTTTTTACAGGACCTCAGGTACTATTAAAGACGCAGATATAGAAAGTTTTGCAACTAGCTATATTGCTTCTTTTCAATCTCCCACATCCAAAGAACAGGGCTGCAAGTCACATTGCCAGGAAGTCCTGAAGAGGCCAGGAAGAGCCAGAATTTAGCAATTCTCTCCCCGTGGTCTGGGGAATGAGGAGGTTGCTAAATGATTCCTCCAGTCTGAAGCTGGTTTTGGATATGAAATGGCAGAGGCAAAAGGGGGATTTTAAGCATTGGCAGGCAATGGAGTCTGGTGTTGGAGGTGAAAGTCTCCAGCGTAATAGGAGAGGGCATCTTGTCTGGGCTTGCTGACTCACAGTGACTGGTGTGAGGCACTTGTTTTGTGCCACAGTCAGCCCAGCCTTGAGAAACACCCGTCCTCGCTCCAGAAGCCTGGACTGGGGGGAATCTTGTCTGACATAGGAGATATAGCTAGGTGCTTCATGGTAGTGGGAAGGGTAACAAATAAAGGTGAGGAGATTACAGCAGTGTGGGTGGGAAAGCAGCAGGAATGCCCACAGGAGCTGCCCTTTCCCCCTCTCCTGGGGTTATCCATGGGGGCTCAGACATCCTGGCTCTAACCTGGCACCCTGTGCCCTTGGGCAGTGACTCAAAACAGTCTGTTCGTTGCTGATCTGACCCCCAGCAGGTTTCAGGCAACAAAAAGCATGTGTTTGCCTGCTGCCTTTGTAGGAGCCTGGTGGGCAGCATGGTTTGACCTTCAAAAGCAACTCCAAGGTGCCCTTGCCCTGAGCCGTTTGCATTGCTTTCCCATAACTATGCAGGCCAGGCTGTTTCTGGAATAGCATACCTTTCACCCCTGCCAGCACCGCCTCACCTTGTGCGTCGGCTTAAAGAACGGTGGTACTTAGCCTGCCTGAGTAGAGTTTGTGGGAAGGAAATCCTTTTTCTGCTTAAGAAGCACGAGTGCAACAGAGCCCTCCTTCAGTTTCCTTGAATAGCTTTGAAGTCGCCACTGCTCTTTTATGTCCACAGTTACAGGCTGGCTAACTCACGGATGCTTTTTTTCTTTTCCCCAGGACTTCTGTTTCTTGTTGTCAACACGAGCTGGTGGGCTGGGAATTAATTTGGCCTCTGCTGATACTGTTGTTATCTTTGACTCGGACTGGAACCCCCAAAATGATCTTCAGGCTCAGGCTCGGGCTCACCGTATTGGACAAAAGAAGCAGGTTGGAAGAGTTTCCTGGGTCATTTTCTCTGTGGTTTCAGCGTGGGCATCTAAACAGGCTCCCACCTCACCAGAGCTTCTGAAAACATGGTCTTTTTGCCCTCAGTCCTGACTCCTGAGAGTACTGCCTACTCAAGAGAAGCTCAGTTAAAAGCCAGGAAACAAAAATCAGCCCAAATTTGCCAGACGCCAGGTTTTTCTGTTGGCTTTGGATCCTGGCATGGTTCAAAACCAAGAACCCAGCCCATGGCATTGCACTTCTCAGCCTAGTGGGCTCTGTTCTTTCTTGCCCTGAAAAACTTGGAGAGTAGAATATCCACCTTTAGTAGGGTTTTATTAGTTACGTGAAAAGTTTGATGCTAGTTTGGATTTAGAGTGATTGTTTCAGAAGATTTTTGCTCTGTGCTTAGTCGCACTGCAGGATCTGTGTTAACCAGCCTGATTTTAGCTGATCCCCCTGAGATATAAAAAGTACGTGAAGGTTTTTATTCTAAAAAGACACATCTGTGTATGAAGGAACCATGTCAGCAGACTAGTCTCCTGTGAAACCACTGAGGGATGCATCACTGTGTCAGCAGAGCATGTTCAGGTCCAGGAAATAGCTCTGTTCCTTTCTTGCCCTTCAGGTGAATATTTACCGCCTTGTCACAAAGGGTACAGTAGAGGAGGAGATCATTGAGAGGGCCAAGAAGAAAATGGTGCTGGATCATTTGGTTATCCAGCGTATGGACACCACTGGCCGGACCGTTCTGGACAACAACTCTGGGAGATCTAAGTAAGTGATGGTTTCAGGAGGCAGAGATGTCTGGTACAGCATGTGGCATAACCAGCTTCATCTGCTGGTATCTCACAATATTTGTTTGATCGGGTACAGGGCAGGAGGCTAATAAATGATGGCAGCTTCCACTGATTTGGCTTATGCAACCATTAATTTGGACACATAGGATAAAGATGATCAGAAATAAAAAACTAGTTTTAATGTGTTACCTGTTTCTCCTCCTGTCTGCCTCCCAGAGATCATCCTGGTCTGAGGGAACCTGGTGGTGGTGGGGGAACAGCTGCAGTTTGGCAGTGACCTCAGACTCTCCCAATTTCCACCCAGTAGATAGAGGTTGTCCCCTTTACGGTGGCTGTCTGTGCTAGAGCAGGAAAGAGATGAATAAAAAAAGCTTTTTATAGTGCTGGGTAGAAAACTCACTTCTTGCTTTAATTAGGAAAAACTTTGGTATGGTTTTGTGCTGTAGCAGTGATGACTTAACAGCTCAAAAACCATTTTCCTTCTCATTTGTTCTTGCAGCTCAAATCCATTCAACAAAGAGGAGCTGACAGCTATTCTGAAATTTGGAGCTGAAGATCTCTTCAAGGAGCTTGAAGGGGAAGAGTCAGAGCCTCAGGTAGTTTGAAATTGAAATCACGTAGGTGTTTGTAGTCCTCTGCAGGTCTGCATGGGGGATCATGTGTGCTCCTTCTTTGTACTTGCCCTATGCATGAGAGCAGGTCAGTCAATAGGGGGCACGTGTGAGTCCAGAGAAGCTGAAGAAAGAGAACTCTGGGGTTGGGGGATCAGGGGCTTGAGGAAAGCCTTGTTGTTTGGGGTTAAATAGTAATGGTCACCAAGAGAGTCCCTTGGCTCCCAAGGGTTCATTATATAGTTATAGCACAGCCTTCTGAAAGCTCCTCTTCCTGCCTCCTGAGCACTTCTTCAGCATCCTTTTTGGGTTGTTTTCATAGAAAGGCAGGAGTCGGCACAGTAAAGTCAAATAGGTTGCTCTCTCCTGCCTCAGTGCAGCGTTGCTAGACAGTTTAGTATTAAGTGCTTTGACTAGTTCTCTTAATGGCCTGAGTAGCAGAGCTTCCCCCAAGGGAAACAGTCCACAGTTAACACATGCCACTGTCTGGAAATTTTCCCTGCTGCACAGCCTTTTCTTCTGTCCTATCATCCTTATTTATACTCTTTTGTACCACTTGAGATAGGTCATCCCTGCCCTTGATGATGACACCCTGCAGATATTTGCACTTTATTTAGCTCATATCAGCACAGTGCGTGTTTAGCTGTTGCACCCCACGAGTCTGTTCTCAAAGCCTCTTATTTCCTGCTGTGCTCGGCACCCTCACCTTTATCACTCTTTCTTTCTGACTGATAGGAGATGGACATTGATGAGATTTTGCGTCTGGCTGAAACACGAGAGAATGAAGTGTCCACCAGTGCCACCGATGAGCTCCTCTCCCAGTTTAAGGTATGGACCCCCAGGCTCTGTAGTGGGGTGCAGGAATGTGGCTCCCCACATCTTGCCACGGTGCTAAGGTCAGTAACAGACAGGACAAATCAGGCCTGGTCAGAGGTGACTCCTGTACAAAGCAGTTCGCTGAGGGGTTGTCTGGGTTCAGTAGCTGGGGAGATTAGTAGCTATTAATTTAATTTCAAATAAGTGATTTTGAAGGCTGTCAATTAAATGCAGAATTTGCCAAATTTGGAAACAAAACTGGCTACTTACACAGGCTCCGCAGTACTTCTTAAACTGCACATACTTCCTCAAAAGCTGTTAGCCCAAAGACATGGCAAGGAACAAGGAATGCAGTGACATAGGTATCAATTATAAAGTAGTTATGGAATGTTGGCAAAATTCCTGTGAGAAGGAGATGAGGCTTAGCAGACAGTTCTAGGGTATTCCTGCCAGGGGAAGGAATTTCTAAAAGTGTTCCTTTGCTTATAAAAGGTGGCCAACTTTGCAACCATGGAGGAGGAAGAGACAGAGCTGGACGAGCGGTCCCAAAAGGACTGGGATGATATTATTCCAGAGGAGCAGAGGAAAAAGGTGGAGGAGGAAGAAAGGCAGAAAGAATTGGAGGAAATCTACATGCTGCCTCGAATCCGGAGCTCAACTAAAAAGGTACGGCCCATCTCAAGGAGCTGAGAAGCAGGAGGCGAGAGCTGGCAAAGGCAATGCTCAAGAGAAGCCTTCTTGCCATCTGAGTACTTCTTTCCCTCCTCCAGAGCTGGTTAGGAGTAAAGCACAGAGGTGGGCACATTGACCTCTTGTTGGCATCATGCATTGGGCCCATGGTTTGTAATGCAGTGTGAGGGCCCCTACTGGATTTGGTATGACTCATCTTATCTTAGCAGACAAAATAAAGAGAACCTGTAGTGAGCACAGGGCAAAATATCCAACTGTAAAATGCAGAATTTACTGCAGTTTATGCCATTTTATGGCTGTTTCTTTTCCTTGGGCTCTCTAGCTCCCTGGGCTGCTCTTGCCTAAATGTGGCTTTTGCAGGCAAAAGAGATGGTGTCTTCCCAAGTTCTTTTTTAGGTGATGGGATCTACCCCAATCCAACAGAAACCAGACTGTGCAAGGAAGCTCTTTTTGGATATGGGACTTTAAGGGGTTATGAACTGTTCTCTGGGATGAGCTGGGGAAAAACATTAAAGTGAAAACTGAAGAGAAGGATAGTTCATATCAGATTATTCCAGATTCATTTCTGAGTTATCCTGGTTTTCAAAACAGCCTAAGGGACTGTGGCACAAACCCACAGTAATCAAGGTGTTTTAATGTATCTAATACTGTAGTAAATCAAAATGCAATTGTGAAACTGCTGGCTAGAAGGCTCTAAAGGGAGGATGACCACCAGAGCCTTAGTTAGCTGGAAACTGCAAGGATGTGCAGTCTTTCTGGGTTGATTACATAGGCTTCTGCATCTTCAGGAAGAAATGCCAAGGTGTTTTACAGTCTGAACGTGAAATAGTGCCAGTGCATGGGAGGGGCAGAAAAGGTTGGCAGATTAGCAGTTGTTAACTGTACTGCTGTTTTTCTGGTACATACAGGCTCAGACAAATGACAGTGAATCAGATGCAGAAACTAAGAGAAGGCTTCAGAGATCATCTGGATCAGAAAGCGAGACTGATGATACCGATGATGAGAAGAGACCAAAGCGCAGGGGGCGTCCTCGGAGTGTTAGAAAAGATACTGTGGAAGGATTTACTGATGCTGAAATCAGGAGGTCAGTGCTGAGCACAGGAGACAGTTCAGAAAACAAATACCAAAATCCCATGCAGGTGGAGAAAACCCCAGTTTAATCCAGTAGGTATTCACCTGTAAGCACATCAGTGGTTTAGGTGGAGATGGTTCATTGGGCCAGCTTCTGCACCTTTGTGTAATTCAGTTTGCTCCCAGCTGATGACATAACATTCAGATCTGTGCAAAATGGGCTGGATTGCCTTTAGTCAGGCCCTTTCTGGGCCAAGTGGCTTGAGCTAATTCCATATTACTCGTGAGGTCTTAAGTACCATGAGATACAGAGCTGGAGAAGCCAAGGACTCTGGCCTTCCTGACATTTTTCTGGCAGTAGTCCTGCTGATTTAAGCTTTAAGTGAAAGGCAAACTCTGACAAAATAACCCCATGAGAAGCACTGGTCTCGTTGATCCCGGTGGTTGTATATCCTCTTCTGCACTGTGTCCCTGAAGTCATCTGGGGGGAGAATTCCAGAGCATTATTTTCTTCTCAAGTCTTCTAACTCTTGAGCCTTTCCCAAAGATCTTTGTCTTATGGCTCTGCCCAGATGTTCAGCCAAAGATGGAAGAGAGAGGCTTGTGAGTTTTCCTTGACTCTCTTTCCGTCTCTGAGTTGATGTATTTTTAAACAGGAGATGGTCAGACAATTTGGATTGTGGTAGCTGCCCCATACCCAGCCCTGAAACACAGAGAAGGAAGGAGGTGTTGCAATGTGAACTATAGCAGCCGTTTAGGTTATTGTGATGTAGAAGAAAGAGGCTGTAAGAGCACAAAATGAAAAAAAGAAGAGAAAAAATTAACTCATTTTAAAAATAATCTGTAGTTGAAGCCACTGGGTCTACTCCCAGCACAAGGCACTGTCCAGTTGCAGCAACGGTGTCTGACTCTTGCCGTAAAGTTGTGTGTTAGCCATGGCAGTGATTTTCAGAATGAAAATAAGACATAAAAATAAATAGCAATCCTTGTCTGCAAAATTCTGTTATGGATTGCACCACATTTGGCTCTTCTGTGATGGGTTGTTACATTTACAGCCTAAGCGTTAAAATTGCTAATGATGTTGATTTAATGCCTCCCTTCTCCTTGGAAAAATGAAGTTAATCATTACCAATATGGTGTGAGCCATGCTTGCTTTCAGTGTTTTTTATACTACAGTTATGACTCTCCTCTTTTTTTTCCTCATCTGCCAAATACCCAACATTCATAATGTTGTATTCTTCTCCAGGCAAGGTCACAAAACTCTTTGTGGGGGTTAATGGATTAGGTTTCTCAGTCCTGAGTGATGCTTAGCTAATCAGCATGGAATGCAAGGTTGATAATGTGGCAGGGTGTAATTAATATATTCCAGCGTATTTGTGATATTGGACTCACTTTTTATGGCAGTTGGTTTAGTTTCTGTTTTTTTTGGTTTTTTTTGGCTTAGGTTTATCAAGGCTTACAAGAAGTTTGGATTGCCCCTTGAAAGGTAAGTCCCAACCTGGCCCTTCTCCAGAGCGTTATCATGGGGGGATGTTGTGTTTCTAAGAACAGCCGTACACACATTGCTATGGGTGTGTGATACAACTTCCACAGATAGCACAAAGCCTCGCTGTCGTGTGATCAGTAACCCAAGCACTGCCATACAGTCCCTCATGTCTCTGTTGATGGGCACTGATGAATGCTGGCTGAAAAGCAGCTAAAGCAGTAGTGGCACCAGCAGTGGAGCAGTAGTACACAGCATCATCCTTCTGGCAGGGTCTGACCCTTGGGGCATTTCCACTCTGCCTAGAAAGGAGAGGGAGCAGCTGTCTGAACAGCAAATGCTACCCAAAACACTTGCCAAGCTTCAATATGCATATTAGTTTCAAGACTGAATTTGGAGCATCTTTCCCTCACTGCCATATCCCTCTTGAAGGGAAGCGGAGAAAGGCACATACCATCCTCAAGTGCGGGTCTGCAGAGCCCTGCACAAGTGCTGTGCCCCAGCATAAGCGAAGGGAGGAAGGGAGATGATGGGCACATGTGCTGGGTCTGGAAAGCCGTAGCCCTCGCTGAGGTCTCAGAGCTGAGGCAAGGATCCTTGCATATATTGTATGAGAAATGACTGTGTTTTTTCAGCTGGTTATACTCTTCTCTTGTGAAGCATGAGGCTTGTGTGTGGGCCTTGATGTTACTAACTTCAGCCAGGCAAAAGGGATAGCAGGTGGCACCTTTGACCATCAAATGGAGTTAATATGGAACCAGGAAAGCACAAAGGAACACTGGACAGTCACAGAAGGTGCCTGTTGTGCCCAAGATAGACAGTTCTCACCTTTGCTTTAATACTAAAAAAATCTCCAAAGGATTGAATCAGTTATACTACATCTGCACATCTGCAGACTAAAACTGTGTTGTTTCCTGCATGAACTTGACTTGTGCAGGTTTCGTACATTCATACATATACAGCATTGACTACTAAAAGCTATGGAACAATTGCTCAGGAAGTGACTGGGAGGAGATATGCTGTATCAAATACAAAACTTTTTTCCCCTTTCCCAGGCTGGAGTGTATTGCCCGGGATGCTGAGCTGGTGGATAAGTCTGTGGCTGATCTAAAACGGTTAGGGGAACTCATCCACAATAGCTGTGTGTCAGCAATGCAAGAATATGAGGAGCAGCTGAAAGAAAATCCAGGTGAAGGTAAGCAAGAGGATTATGTGCTGCTGTTACGATGTTTTTGGGGATGTTCCATGGAGCTGGTGAGAAAACTGTTCCCTTCCTGGACGGGGAGGCATACCACATTGCTGCTTAAAAGCAAAGAAGCAGCACACATTTAAACCATCCCATCTCTGCCAGGCAGCTCTTGCCAATGGAGAGAAACCCCTGAGTCTTCTGCTCAGACTGGCAAGTGCCATTTGGGTCTGTTGGCTTCTGCTGAACATCAGTTTTTGTGGGGACAGGCTGAAGTAATCAGCTTATTTAATGCTGGGCCACAAGGCAAAACAGATCATATTTTAACTGTTCCCGGGATTGGGAATCAAACTGGTGCTGTGTGTACTCCATGGTAAAGCTGGATCCACAATTAGCACTTCCTGGAGCTGGCATCATCAACCGCTCCATGTATGGCTGTTCTGTGATGTTGGTTTGGAGATACAGGGGTCTAGGTTGGATTTCCCACTGGGTCTCTGCCTATTGCATCTGAACAAAACTACTGAAGCAACAGCTTCAGCATACTTAGATGTATTTTTAAGAAAATTATACTGGGAGGTGTTTGGATTGCAGATCTAAGTGAGTTAGTGAAAGAAAACTTACATTTTGGGCCTGCCTTAGCAGACAGCCTTATGTTTAAATAAGAGGTTACAGGCAAGGTCTTGATCTGTGTGTCTCGATGTTCTTACAGAGGCACTTCTTTCTGTAAGAGTTCTCTTAGTTGCTGTATTTTATTGTTGAGCAGGGAAAGGACCTGGAAAAAGAAGAGGTCCTACTATCAAGATTTCTGGTGTCCAAGTCAACGTGAAATCTATCATCCAGCATGAAGAGGAGTTTGAAATGCTGCATAAATCCATTCCCACGGACCCAGAGGAAAGGAAGAAGTGAGTTTGGCTAAGTAGGCAATGCAGAAAGAAGCTCAGGGAATTTGGATTTTGTAGTGGAAAGAGAATAGCTTAGATATGTGGATTTGCTTTACCTCCAGCAGCATTAAAAGTAGCTCATGTTTGAAATGCCTTTAGGTACCGCCTGACATGCCGTGTCAAAGCTGCCCATTTTGATGTAGACTGGGGAGTGGAGGAGGATTCTCGCTTGTTAGTGGGAATTTACGAGCATGGTTATGGAAACTGGGAGCTAATTAAAACAGATCCGGAATTGAAGTTATCTGATAAGGTAGGTTGCCTTGCTTGTTGCTTGCATTGGGTCCATTGCAGTGTTCATAGAGAACATGTTTGATTTACTCCAGAAACAGATGTTTATGGTTGTAACCACTCCAAAAATAATAATAAATAATAATGAGGAAAACAGTGACCTCCATGGAATGTTGCACACTTGATGGAAAGCAGAGTTGTGTTATTTGATTGGCAGTAAATTTTCTCTGAACAGTACCATATGAACCACACCGAAATGATGCAGGAAGAAAATGGTAATGCTGACATGTGTGGTTACATGCACAGTATAGAGGGTGCATTGCATAATCGTGACTTGATATTTCCTTGAGTGTCTCACAAGAAGCTGAGTCTGAATTTCTGTGTGGAAATAATTTTTCGCAGATTTGACACTGCTTATGTCAAGACTGGTCTGTGTTAGCTTTGAGGGTATAGTTACATGACTGGCTATGGCAGCAAAGCCAGCTGGAAAGCCTCCATCTAGTTCCTCTGTTCCTCAGTCATTCCCATAAGAACTGTTTATGGGGGCCATGTTGAAACGATCCAGGTTAAAAATAAGCCGCCATCGGTTGTGTCAGCACAATGGAAGGAGAGTGAACTGCAACACAGGGCTGAGGAATGTTGAGAATATCTACACCAGCTTTGTTGCTAATATGCTGCATTCCCGTGACATCCCCGCTAGTGCTTTTAGCAAAGAGATCAGACTGTGGCTGCAGCCTTGTCCACTAAAAATTCTGCATCTGTGTCATTGCTGTAGCAATGTCTCAGGTTACCAGAGGGGACCAGTCTTTGTGACAAGGCTGTCACAAACAAATCTGATGTGTCAAGGAGAGTGGACTCAGATTTGCAACTCAAGGTCCCAAAGACGGTTTGCAAAGATTTTTTTCTTCTTTTTGCACACTTACAAGAAAGATCATAGAGAATCTAGAGAGCTGCCTCAGGGTCTTTTCACTTCTGCAAAAGGCTAAGGGGACAGATGCTTGCTAGGACCTTTGCTTTTGGCTAGACAGGGAGAGTCTGTGTGGGAGCTGGAAGAAATGGCTTGAACCTTCTTGTTCACTCATAAAGTGCAGTATCTCCAACCCTTTGCTGGGCCTGGAAGGGACTGCTGCCAGTGTGTATCTCTTTTGTCAAGGTTTTTTTCTTCTTTATCAAAGATCCTACCTGTTGAGACAGATAAGAAACCTCAGGGAAAACAGCTCCAGACCCGAGTTGATTATCTGCTGAAACTGCTGAAGAAAGATCTGGACAAGAAAGAAAACATGAAAGATGGGGAAGAGGTGAGATGTGGCTGCTTGATTCTGGGGGTTTCAGGATGAGTGGCTGGCTGATGGCGGGAGACAGTCTGTGTTCCCAGGTTGCTGAACGTCTTCTACGTGAAAGCATATGGACTTGTCTGTTGTCTGATTGCATTGTGATACTGAAAGGATAATTAGTAAGGGGCAGGTAATCATTACACTTACTGAAGGACTGAGGCTCATCAGGCTTCCTGCCACCCTGCAGGGCCTGCAGCTGTTTGCAAGATGTTCAGGAAATGGGGTATGTCCCCAGGAAGTAGCTGTAGCTCTTTGCTTGTCCTGACTTGTTCTGTGTTTTCACCAGGGTAAGCTAAAGAAGAGGAAACCACGAGTGAAAAAAGAGAACAAGGCTCCCAAAGTCAAAGATGAGCATGGGAATGAACTCTCTTCTCCTCGGCACTCAGACAACCAGTCAGAAGAAGGTGAAGTCAAGGTGAGTCAACTTAGTGGATAGTGGCTTTTCCAGGTTTCCTTGAGCTATGTGGTTACTGCAGAAACTCACCTTGAGAAGCACCCCTAGCAAATGGCTTGTGGAGTCAGGGGCACTACAGACCACATTCCCACAAGAGACTGGCAAATGTACTAAAACATATATACAGCTGTTGGGGTGAAAGAAAGACCTTTCCCACCCACTCTTTTAAGTTAGTGCTTTAAGTGTTTTGGGGGATCCTAGAATGGCCGTACACATCCACATACTGACTTGGAGGAAAGATTGTCTCAGGACAAAGTTTGTTGCCCTTATAAAGCAGAGAAAGAAGAATTGTTTCCCTCTCCTTTTCAGTACGTCAGCCAGCGGTAAAGCTGGAGTTTACCAAGGTCATGCTGTTGCTTAGAAAACTTTCTGTCTTTGAGTGGTTTGGCTTGTAGTCTAAGGCTTTTTGTTCATGTGCTGATCAGTATCTACCTTGGGGGCTGAGTGTTCTCGAGCACAGCTGGCATAGGAAAGCAGTGCTTATCTACAGTTTGCCAGCTAGATTGGGGCTCGTCTATTTTTTATACCCTTTTGTCAAGGGCTGGGTGGATTGCAGCTGGTTAAGCAGGGCTTGCTGTCTGGTTAAAGAGGTGTGAGGGCAAATTTGGATGGACCTCAAAAATTGCCTGTGTTTCAAGGATGTAAGTTTTATGGAAGAAAGTGTACGTGAGACGAGGGACTCCAACTTTGTGCTGTGACTGATTTTCTAGGAGGATGGCTTGGAAAAGAGTCCAGTGAAAAAGAAACAGAAGAAGAAAGAGAACAAAGAGAACAAGGAAAAACAGACAACCACTAAGAAAGAAAAGGAAAGTGATAAAGAGAAAAAGAAGACAAAAGACAAGAAGGAGAAGGTATGTGGTACTCTCAGGAAAAGTTTAAGAGATAGGAAAGTCTCTGAGCAGAAGGGCAAGCTATGAGACTTATGATTCATTAAAGGCCCTGTGTGAAAAGACATGAATGAGGCACTGTGGGGTGAGGTATTATTCCTTTTTCAGCCCTCCTGAATTCTTATTGTGAAGAATTGCAATAAAAAGTGGAAAAGGCAATATATCCTAAAGCTTGGGGGAATGTGAGCAAAAAGGAAGAGATTTTGTCAGACTGCCTTTAAAGTACAGTGGTCCCTGTGGCAGTGATATGGCCAAATAGCTGATGTTAAGGAAGAAAGGGGGAAGAGCCTGGAGCACTCAGATCAAAGTTCTGTTCAGCAGTGATTTATCACAGGGTTGGCAACTCCTTGTCTGTGTTCCCCTTTAATTTAAACTCACCCCAAATAACCCAACTGTCCACACCATCAAGACAGTAAGTTGTCCTTGTCGCTGTTCAGGACTCACCAGAATGAGTGTTTCAACATCAATGGTATGTTGTGGACTAAAATGTCCCTTGAATTTTGGGTACAACTGCCCTGAGGCTGGGTTCAGATTGGAAGGGGGGTAAAAGCTTCTATAATAATGACCTGAAGTACCTGTCCAAGGAACAGGTATGTACTGCATGCCCAGTGTGTTTTGACACTGAGGTCATAAGTGCAAATCAAGTTTTGTTGCATATGTAGGGGAAAGTTTGCTTTCCAGTGATTTTTGGTATAGCTTTGACTGCAGGTAAGCCATGTGTCAAAATTTACACTAACAGGCTGATTTGAGGTTGCTTTCCAGAGTGTCTGAGGACTAGTGACATGGCATGAAATTGCAGATCCTCGTAGACATGAGACTACTCTGAGCTCTGTCCTTTGCAAGGGATATATATTCTTTAGCTTAACGTCTCTTACAAGTCTTCAACATTGGTTTTCTCTCCATGAGTATGAATATCGTATTCATGTCCAAAATGTTGGTTCTGACTTCTCTCTACTCCCTCAAGGATGACATAAAGCTAAATAGAGACATTGCAGCTAAAGAGTTTGAGATCTTGGGAGGAAAGTTGTAGGAGCGATGCCTGGGGTTTAACAACTGCCAGTAACAATAGTGTGGAGGTTGTTAGTTGGATCACTTGAGATCCTGCAGTCTGGCTCATCATGTGATGTGTGTAATTTGTCCTTGTAAAGCCTAAAGGTGGTGAAGCCAAATCTGGAAGTAAAGGGAAGAGATCGCAAGGTCCCGTCCACATTACTGCAGGGAGTGAACCAATCCCCATTGGAGAAGACGAGGATGATGATCTGGACCAAGAAACGTTCAGCATAGTGAGTATTTTCCTCAAGAGATGGGAGGGTGCTGGCAGAGAGCCCAGCGAGGCAGCCAGGGTTTGCTTGCACGTTATCCAAGGATGTGGTTTAGGTGTTAGGGTGTGAGCCCCCTCCTAGTGCCTCACAGTGATTTCCTCTGGCTGATCTCAGAGCACGGCAGAGCAACCCTGGATGAGAGTTGTCCACCAGCCCCCTCTGTGCCTACTAGCTGGCTGCTGTAAATGGCACTTCAACTGGAAGAAACTTCAAAGCTCTTTCAGCTCCTGATTCTCACCAAGCAATTGCACTGTTAAAGGGTTCAGATAACTCCCTTAAAAATTCAGCTTTGCATGAGTGCGCATGTTCAACCCCTCCTTCTGCCAGGGATACCAGCCAGGACAGGAGAGGGCAGCATGTCATCAGAGCATGCAGAAGGGCTCTCTTCTTCAGCTGATAAGTTCCCACTGCTCATTTGACAGGCCTGGGTTACAGAAGACCCTGCAGCGTTATGTGGCAGTCTCTCCTGTAGAAGCCAAGGAGCCATTTCCCCAGGTGGGGAAATACAGGAGAGTTTTGAGGGTGGCCTTGTATGGCTGTGGGAGGTACAGAGTTGTCTGAGCTGTAAGCACTTCCCTAGTTGTGTAAATGCTCTTGCAGCAAACATGCCTGCAAGGCTCATTGTAAAAATAGCCTTTTAGTAAATGTTGTCATGGCAGACTCTCCTTGGCTTGACTTGCACAGGGAAATGCTGAAATATCACTGTTTAAAAACAGTTCTCTAAATGCAAATCTGTGTATTTGCTGCAGGTCCTGTGTTATTTTTGTCTGTTTTTTTCTTTAACTTTCCCTCTGTGATGCATTAAAGGTCCAGTCAGGCAGTAGAAACCTGTCTGATTTACTGTCTATGCGCACAGCTGAAAAAGAGGGTGCTTTCATCTCATGTCTTCCAGTTATGGTAAAAGCGATAAAGCGACCACAGATGGGGATGGACAGGGAGGGTATTGAGTGAACACTCATTCAGCTGGGGCTGTTGGTTCAGCATGTTGATGCTCAGTTACGCTTCCTTGCCTGCTGTGGGATCAGTGCAAGAGCAGACCATGTTTGAACACTTACGGTTTGCAAAGCAAATTTTTCCCCTCTAAAAGAGGGGGGCAGCGGAGGTGGGGAGACACTCGTCTTTTCCTGATTATTTTCTGCAGCATGTCTAACAAATTGCTATTTTCATAGCTGATTTCTCCTTGCCTAATGGTCAAATAAAGCTAATATCTTGTGCTAATGAACTTCTTCCAGCTCTGTCTGATTAACAAGGGAACAAAGTAGAGCCCTGTGCCAAATCACTTTCTGCTCTCTGTTGCTTTTTCAAGTGCAAGGAAAGGATGAGACCAGTCAAAAAAGCACTGAAGCAACTCGATAAGCCTGATAAGGGACTGACGGTTCAAGAACAGCTGGAGCACACACGCAACTGTCTCCTAAAAATTGGGGACCGCATCTCTGAGTGCCTTAAAGCCTACACTGACCAGGATCATATCAAGCTATGGAGGAGGTGAGGGATCATTTTGTTTTCTTTGGCTGGTCTGTCATATTTAAAAATGGTAGTCAGAGGCTGCTGGGTTTTGTGTGGATGTGTGCCATTTGCCTCCTATTTAACCTGTGCAATCTTGTGTTCTCTAGCCCACTCAGTCCATACCAGTGTCAGGTGAGGGTTTTGTCTGCAAGTTGTGCTGGTTTCATTTTAATTAATTTCAGAGCTAGTTTATCTAAACCAGTGCAAACCTCTTTATTTTACTTTGAAGAACTTGGTTCCAGCTCATCCTGTCCTGAGCTGGGTTGAGACTGTTTTCCAGAGAGGGTAGAACTGATATGATGTTGGTTTGAAAGCAGCTGGCAGTTAAACTGCTGATGTAGCAATTAACAGAAAATATTCATGTCATTCTAGGAACCTGTGGATATTTGTGTCAAAATTCACAGAATTTGATGCCAGAAAACTGCACAAACTCTACAAGATGGCTCATAAGAAAAGATCGCAGGAAGAGGAGGTGAGATCTGAAGTGCCTTCCCTCCAGTTGCTCTCTTTAAAAGTTGTCACACTTGAAGTGTCAATGCTTTCTGCCTCTTGTCATGGGCTTGCTTTATTGTTGGTGGCAGCCTGTGATTTTCTTAACATCTAAACAGTCTGGTTGCATTTGCCTCCTCTTTCATGTGACATTTCTCCTTTCATCTAACAACACTGGTCACTTTGTCCTGGCTCTTCTGACCAAGAAAAAGCATTGCTTGGTGTGGCACGTTGTGTTGAATTGACCTTTAGAGTGAAAAGCCTGGGAGAGCTGCCCTGTAGAGATAGGATGTCGAAGCAGAGCCGTGCGGGGCAAAACAGTGCCTGTCCTTCACCACATTTGTACCATTGCCATTCATACCATGCTCAGGCACAGTTGGTTCACCAAGTCTCAGAGAGGTGGGTGGCCCACAGCATGGGGAGTCTGCGGAAAAATCCAGAGCCTGACAGACAAGACCGTTGCTCACATAGTCTGAATCTTTTGGTGGAAGAGCAGTTGAGCTGTAACCATCTCTTCCACCTCGCAGGAGCAGAAGAAGAAGGAGGACATGTCCAGCATGAAGAAGCCGTTCCGCCCGGAGCCTTCAGGCTCCAGCCGCGATTCTGTGATGTCCCAGTCTCACGTGCCTCACAATCCTCATTCCCAGAAGATCCACCTGCCCCCTTCCCATGCCCAGCAACAGATGCACGGGCATCCGCGTGACAACTATGGCCATCCAAACAAGAGACATTTCAGCAACACAGGTGAGCACTGGCAAGCCAGGAGAAACCATCCCTTCTAACCTAATGGCTGTTTGCCCTTGGACACAAATCATTCTGGGACTTGTGGCTGATCAGATTAAAGGTGATGGGATGGAGCATATATTACCACTGTACTTATTGCTGGACTGGAAAACATAATGATATAGTGATGAAAGAGTATAAGAACAGGACAGAATAAGATTTGCTAGAATAATAATAAAGAAATTCAAAGAATAAAATTGGGCCCACGTAATTTAGGGAGGAGAAAGTTAAAGGGGCACAGCAATAGTTATCATTTCTTTGAGAATTCAGCAAAGTGATGGGCTTAAACTAAAGTATGAAAGACACTTAGTGGTGCTCTCCTCATTGCAGACCGAGGAGAATGGCAGAGGGATCGAAAGTTCAACTATGGTGGCAACAGCAACCAGATGTGGGGTGGAGAGCGGCATCACCAGTATGAGCAGCACTGGTACAAGGACCACCACTACGGGGATCGACGATCTCGTGGAGAGCCCCACCGGAGCTCTGGGAACTACAGACCAAATAACCTCTCCCGCAAGAGGCCATACGAACAGTACAACAGTGACCGAGACCACAGAGGCCACCGAGATTATTACGACAGGTAATTCCCTTTCATCTCAGAAAGGCTGGGAGGAGTTTGCAACGATGCACCCGGCTGTGGTGGCCAGGCTTTCCTTGGGGAACTGATCTCCATCCATTCGTTTTCTCTCTGCAGGCACCACCACGATTCCAAGCGTCGAAGATCTGATGAGTTCAGGCCTCAGAACTACCACCAGCAGGATTTCCGACGGATGTCTGATCACAGGCCACCCATGGGATACCATGGCCAAGGACCTTCGGACCACTACCGGTCTTTTCACACAGACAAATCGGTAGATTACAAACAGCCTCTCCCTCCACCTCACCCTGCAGTGTCGGACCCTCGCTCACCCCCCTCTCAGAAATCTCCCCACGATTCCAAGTCACCTCTTGATCACAGGTCACCTCTGGATAGGTCCTTAGAACAGAAAACCAATCCAGATTATAACTGGAACATTCGGAAAACATAAAGTGACTGAGAGGGGGAAAGCGCACGTCTGAAATACTTGGTTTGATGCAACAGTGGCTGGTTTCTCCAAGCCAGCAACCAGGAACTCTGAACATGCTGCTATCATCTTGCTGGGTCAAGGAGGATTTTGGGGGAGTAGGTGAAGGAAGATTTTCCCTAGCTCTTGGTTCTGGTTTGGATTCCTGTTTCCTTTCCCCTCTTCTACCATTGAATGCTGGAACCAGCCTTGCTGCCTCATTCTTTGTTTTGTTTTTGTTTTCCCCAATCCAGTGGACCCAAGGGAATATTCCCTAGCCAGTGTTTCCCCAAACCAAGAAGGCGGATCGATGCTGCTTAGGATTGTGCAGAAGGCTGTGTGCCTCTTCTGACTTGATGTTACATGACAGATGCTGCTTTGGGGTTGGGGATAAACTGGTTGGGCTGTTTAACCAGCATAGGGCAATGGGAGGATATATTCAAGGAGGGACAGGAGAGTCCCTCAGCAGACAAGCTTGGTTGAAAGAGGGACTTGATGTCCCTGCAGAGTGACTCCAAAGGAGTTGGAGCCATGCTGGTGACAATCCATTGCTTTCCTGGCCACACTATCATTTCCATGTCTTTATCCATTTCAAGAAACTGGCTCTGCTTTGATTGTGTCCCCTGCAACAGAAGAGGTATGGGGGACCTTCCTCCTATCTCCAGAGCTGGAACTGGCAAATCTTGACTTTGGGGGGCTTTGGGATATGTGAAAAAAAGACAGACTTCCTTAACAAAGTCTTAGTTCACTTCCCACCAGTAGGAAAGAAATTGGGTTGACAACAATATTTCCCAGTGGACAGGACTCAGGAATTCATAACAGAACGCCTCTTCTCTTCTGACATGGGCAGCTTGGATGATCCAGGAGCTAACAGATGTTGGCTGGGAGCTGCAAGGTCAAAAAATGGCTCTAGGCATCTGGGGATCCTGAAGCACCTAATCTCCCTGCCACTAAAGTCTGGTCTTTGGGCATCATTTCTCTCTGCGCTTCGCGAAACAGTGATCACAAACCCTTACTGCAACCAAAGGATAAGGATGGTAGAGCAGAGTTAAACAGGAATCCAATGGACTGATCACTGTTCAGCGAACTGTCACCTTCCTGCCACTGTTCCAGCAGTCAGCAGTAACTCTGAATTGCTAAGAGTACCTGCACTGAAAGACCTTCTGTCTGTCTAAACTGGAAATGTGCCTGGGGGCTTAGCACCTAAGTGAGCAGGGAGACAATAAGGAATTCAGGACTGAGTCCTTAAAAATCCTTGGAGCAAATGTCTTAGGAGCCCAGCATGGCAGAGGGAAAAGAGGAGTCTGCAGCCCAGCTCGGTGGACTTCAGAGCAAACACTCCTCCAAGTATTTGAGCCACAGCGTATGATGCAGAACAGTGTCCAGCCTGGAGACAGGTGTGGTGAGAGGGGTTGTGCACAGATTGCTGGCCAGAAGTAGCTTGGGTGATTATTTTTCAGGTCCTAGGTCTTTGTTTGTAGAGTCACATCCCTGGAGACCACAAAGCTCTCCCAACAGCTGGGCTGCCCAGAGCGTGGTGTCTGGGGATGCGACATCTCCCGGAGCTCAGTATTAAAGACCAGGCTGTTCCAGACTCCTTTTTGGTGGGGGAATGAAGCTGGGCCCCCTACTGAGATGCCAGTATCTGACCCTAATAAGCTGTCGTGTCCTTTCCCCGAAAGACTTCAGGGGAGATGGGTGTTCAGGGCTGGCTTCCTGACTCCAGCCAGTGCCTTGGAAGGCGCACACAAACCGACACTAATACCCCCATGTTGCCCCTCCATGCAGTGCATCCCTTGAAATCTGCGGCTGTTAGTCACTCCTTTCTGAGCCCACTGCTTTAAAGGGACAGACAGGAAGTGTTTTGCTCCCCTTTTGTTTTTATTTTGCAAGATTTCTACCAAATGCAGGGCAGTTTTGCTTCCTTAGGGGCACTGTTCTGCCCCAAGAAAGTGTTACGCTTGTGTTTACTTGTGCAGGAGGAGGTGAAGGCAAGTCTTCCACAGTCCCCCTTGGAGCTGCTGGGTTGATGAGAGGTGTTGAGATAGCATGTTTCCGCGGTGTTTCTCACTAAGCTGTGATTGCAGGCACGCTTTGTTGTGATATTCCGCAAAGAGGTCCTTTCTTTTCAGAGGTATTAGCTTTTAATGTGAAAATGGAAGAAACCTCGGAGGTGCAAAGAGTTGCTCTTTTTGTTCACCAAGTGGTGCTATCGTGATAGAAAGTTCGTGCCATACACTTGTAGCGAAATGCAATACTGGCCAGACCAGTGTTATGGTTGGTGCAGGAAAACTTTGAACCCCAGCAAGAGGCATTTTCTGTGTCTAGACATGGGGGTTTCTGCTCATCCTGGGTTCCAGGTATGAAGTTGGTTGTGGTTTCCTTCTTGCGCAACAGCAAAAGCTTTACCCATATCCACCGAAGAGCTGTCCCTGCTGTTACGTTAGCCTGAGACTGAAGTCACATAGTTTTGTTCACTCATGGTGGGTGGGTCTTCACTGGGTTTGGCTTTAATGAAGCTGGAGAACTAGATTTGGGAGAAAGTCCTCCCTGAGTGCGCACACACATGCATGCATTTTATGTCCTCTCAACATAGGGACCATAACCAGACACAGTCATTTGGATGTGAGCGGGATCGGAGGGGACAGGTCCACAGCCATAAACTTCACTGCGGTGTTTGTGACAACATCTGGTACAGCTCTTCTTTCCAGACCAGCTGCGGGATTCCCTCTAGCCTCTTTGCAGGAAAAAGTAGCAACTTGCTGGGTTTTTATTTTAAAAAAAATTGTTTTTCAGCCTGACCTTTTGGGAAATGGTGTAAACTTGTGAATTCACATGATGGAAGTCCTGCAGACTGAAACACGCTGCAGGGACAGGCGATGTGGTGCCCAACCAAAATGGATACTTAACAGTGCTCTGAAGTCCTTACATGAACAGTTTAAGTGATCCATGCAGAAATACTATTCTGCTTTCAGCCGTTTCCTCCCGACCTCCTCCTTCCCTCTGGGGAGAGAAGGTCTCTTACTGTAAAAATGTGGACTTTTAAACCTGTTGACTAAAAACAGTAATTAATATTAATTTATATTTGTGAAAAAATGCCACTGTCCTAGTGATTTCTGATGTAAATATGTTGTTTATATAGTATGTATTAAATTTTCCTACATTGTAAAACTGCTGTACTTTTGATTCTTGTATATTAAAAAGTGTTACTGAGATTTTCAGAAATGCGCCAGTCAGTGTGTGGTGTGTCTGGGGGGGTCCTGTAGCCCCTCGGTATGGTGGCAGGTTTGGTGGAAGCACAGGATAAGCACCTAAAATGGGGGCTGTTATGGGATCACAGGGCCCTTTCCTGCCAGCCACGGGCATGCCGTGATGGGTATTTTCACTGTGCAGGAATAAGCATGTTCTTCACGGCTGTTTTACATAGTTTCGCAGTCAGTGGTGATAGAGACTTGGAAACCCCTTTGGATAGGAATTTCCACCCGATCAGGAGAAGCCGTGTGTTTCCTCTACCCATTTCCATTCACTGGGATGGTACCAATGTTTATGTGTTTATCCAATCTCTGTCTTTTCTGGGTCTCTGGGAGTGCGGGAACTTCTTTTTGACCCTTTCTGGGGAGAATTCTCCTTTGTCTAGGAGAAATGCTGCTCCCGCTGCATTGGTGGAGTTCTCCACTCTGTCCCGAGCCCCTTCTGGGCAGGACATGCCTTTCTCTGGGTGGGATGAGATGGCATCCTGGAGGCTGCTTTGGTTTGGTCTTTACCCTCCACCTATTCATACTTAGGCCCACACGGCAAGATGCGGTGCAGGGATTTGCAGCTGTTTCTCCCAAGTTATAAGAGCTCATTGTAAAAAGGGCTTTTCACACCTGCAGCCACTGGGTCCAGCCATTCCCAGCCTCTCTGCTGCTGAGCCAAGTTTCAGCCAAGAGTGAAATTTCACAGCTGAGTTATATGCCCCTGAAAAATGAATTTCCTAATGGAAAGAGTGACTGGGTGTTAGCCGCGTGTCTGCGGCAGGGAGAGGGGGCTCGGCTAGAGGGAGGCACAGGGACTATGGGGAGCTGGTCCACGTGTCCCTGCTTGGAGCGCGGGGCCGTGAATCTACCTGAGGCAGGTGATCTTTTTGATTCCGCACTGACTCATCTTTCATCCAGGGGTACCCACAGGAAAGCTGGAGAAGCAGGGGCCTGAGGAACCGGAGCAGCGGGACAGGTAAGGATAGTGGCACCCCGATGCCGGGGGGGGACGTAGGCATCGACTCCCCGGCACAGCTCAGCCCGGCATCCCCCTGGCACCCCCCTGCCAACCCGTGTCGGCAGCCCCACGCTGCAGAGGGAAATCCCGAGGCCTTGTCAAAGCCTATGGGGAAACGACCCCCTGGCGTGAGGCAACCTCCTCCTGCCCCTCTGCGGGTCCGGTCAGCCCCGCGGGAGCACCTCCTCCGTAAGGCGGTGGTCCGTGCAGCTGGGGACACCCCGGGGTGCTGGGCAGGGCAGGGGCCGCGGGCCGGAGCCGTGGTCGCTGCCGCTGGCTCATCTTGGTGAGGGGACCCATTGCCCGAGGTGGTCGGCAAAGCCGCTGCGCAGCCGCAGCGAGCGGGACCCCCGGCCCCGCCTCGCGCCCGGCCGAGAAGCCCCCGCTTTTTGCTTTGTGCCGTGCCTGAGCGAACCCTCTAGAGGGCAGCCGGTTCCCAGCAAAAAGCCGTTTGTTTGGTGGACGACGTTCTGCAGTCGTGGTTGTTCCCGGGCAGCCGGGTGTGAAGCGTCCCCGCTCACCCCCAGCGCTGGGATGCAAAGCTCGGGGCAGCCGAGGCTGTGGCCCGAGGCCGGGGAACGGGCCTTGAAACCCTGCCTGGGACACCAGCCTGTGGCCCTGGAGCAGCCGTCCACCACGGGATGATGTGCTTCAGACAGAGGGGTAGGATGGGACCGCACCTTGGACCCCCCCCCGCCCGGGGCTGCCCAGAGGCTGGGGCTGCACCCTCACCGCCCGTGGAGCGTGATCCCGAGAGCAATCTGAACCTCTCGGAGATGCCGTGGGGTCACCGCTGCCATCGCTGCCCCCGTGCCCTGGTGTCCCTGCATGGCCTGTGCCTTCCCCGCGGCCCTCCCGGGGAAGCTGCAGTGCCACGCGCGATTAACGAGGACGGGGTACCCTGGTCGCTCAGGGATCACCGTGCCCTTCCAGCAGCACTTTGTCCCACCAGGAGATGCAGGTCTGCTCCTGCTGCCTGCTCGCTGCCCAAGGCTGAGGAGCAGGGGACCGCTGGTGACCTCCTGGCAGGGCAGTGAGCGAGGGAGACCCTCGTCCAGTTTTTATATGACTTTGCAGATTCAGCTAAAGCCGAGCTCTTGTGAGCTGCTACAAGTGGCGGCAGGAGGAGTGGGTTTGGCTGTTTCTGAAAGCTGCCCCTTCTTCAGGGCTCTGAAGGAGGGGGAGGTTGGGTCTCGCATCTCTGGTGCTGGGTGTCTTTGCATGGATTTGCCTAAATAATGTATGTTTTCAGTTGGTGCTGGTGTCCTACCCGGCCTCAGCATCTCCCTGGCCCCAACTGCTGGGGCAAGGACCTCGTCAGCTTTTCAAGAAAGGAAAATTAACAAAAAAAAGTTGCAGTTTTAGTTTCCCTCGTTAGAGGGCAGTAACAGACCCAAATGGGGCCAAGAGTAATGCCCAAGAAAGGCGAGATCATCAAAAGGGGAAATTATCGGGGTGCACATCCCAGCTGCTGGGGTGAGCAGAAGGGCGATGGTATCCGCTTGGACTCCATTGCTGCACATCTCCTTTCCCAGCGAGGCTCAGCTCCAATAGTTTATCATCTGTATTTTCTCCCCCCACCCCTTTTTATTTTTCTCATTTGGCTGTAGATAAATAAAACACTAGATTAAAATTCTCAGGAGAATTTAGGACAGAAATGAGCTCTCAAAGGGTCCTTGGGTTACAGGTAGAAGAAAGCTGCTTTTGAGTGAATGCAGAAATGGGGCTGCATTTGCGTCCTGCGTGGCGATCAGCACCATCCAACACACCGCGAACAAAACGAGACCCCACTCATTTATTGTCAAAAAACCTCAAACTTTACTTGCGTTTCTCAATAAATAATTTACAGTATATACACGCGGTGACACTCCCGTGGGTCTCAACTCAGGGAGGAGGTGGGGGGGGCCCTTCTTGTAACCCCCCCCCCCTTTGCCTACGTATTTTTTTTTGTTTCCAAGTATCGGGTCTTTCTTGGCCACACTTCACCTTTAACCAGAACTGGGTCAAACACAACCAAAATAAAGTGCTTCACTGTTTGCTTCTAAAATAGGGATACCCCAACCACCGTACAACAGCTGGCCACCACTGGAGTGCTCACCTGGACAGTGGGACTGAGCCATGCCATAATTATCAAATAGACTTTCCTTGGCTGGAAATTACCCCTAAACCACAGTGCGTCAAGCCATAGGGTAATCACTTTATAGGAAAGGGAGGTCTTAAGGGAAGTATTGACTTGTCGGCACACTGTGGCTTGGCCAGCTAAGACTGCTTTCAAGAAGCACTGTGTCTTCTGAGGGATGCCTTGCGCAGCTGCTGTTATCTATGGGGTAACACAGCAAGAAACAAATGTTTCCTCTGACCCAGTGACAAATTTTGGCTTTCAAAACTTGCATTTTTGATTTCTAGGGAAGACAAAAACTTGGTTCTTTCTTGACCAAAGGAAACAAAAAGTCCAAATCAGCCTGGCTGAGCAATTAGTGCATTGGGAAACTAAACTGTCCTGTGTTGCGGTCCAGTGGTTGCTCTCCTCAGTGCCTCCAAAATGTGATATCCTTATTTCAAAGTCTCCCTAAACAGAATACCTGGGGCACCAGCAAACAAAGCAAGGAGCAAAGTAGTAAACACATCTTTGTTTCTTTTCTTTCCTTAAACATTTAAAAACCAATTACATCTCTTCATCTGTACAGTCACACGAGATCAATGCCAGGGCTCTATATATTAAAGAGACAATATAAATTACATCCATTGACACAATTTTGCATTTCTCTGCTGCTTTACAAATGGAGCTCTAGAGCTGTTAGGACACAATGAATAGTCACGTTGAATATTTACACCAGGCTGCCTCTAGGCACCAGTTCAGATTGCCAGACGTAGCCTGTTCCCACCTCTTTTGGTGCTAGCTTGTCTCGTCATGCCCAGAGACCTCCCTTGAGAGCAGGAGGTGCCCCCAAGAGTGACACGTGTTTTGGGGCTTGTTTCTGGGAACTTCCCCCTGAGGAAAGGAGGGGAAACCCATCAGGAGGTCTCCAAGATGCAGACCAAAGGTGGTCTTGCTGTTTGTTCGGTGAACAATGAGGTGAACCACAGAGGAACATGGAGAGGAGGAGATGGGCAGCACTATGTGGTGGGGGAAGGAGATTATCCTTGGTTTTGAGGCAGGGAACAGACATATGTAGGCAGCTGGGGGGGTCCTCTGCTGCATCCCATCTCCTGGCTGGATTTCTAACATTGCCCCATTTCCAATTCTTAAGGTGCAACTTGTCCGCAATGGGGTTGCAAGTTGTGGCCCCAGGATGAGGAGCGGAGCAGAGACCTAGCAGCAAACAAACAGAGTGCGATGCTCCTGCTCTGTCCCAGGGCCTGGCCGAGCCGCAGGCAGGCAAGTGGGTGCAGGGCTGGAGGGAGGTGTGGATCAGGTCTCCCACTGAGCAGCCTCCCTGCTGCTGGTTTTAGGGGACCGGAGAGAAAATGGTGCGAGGAACTCATCCAACGCTGGGCAGAAGTTGCAGAAACTGCTTGAATACTGGCCAGGTTTCTCCTGTTGCCATCAGGAGTCCTCAGTGGGTCTGGGCAGAGACAAGGGAGCCACAAATAAAAAGTGAATCAGCCGAATGAACTGGCTAAAATAGGAGATGCCCTTTGAACCACAGCAAACATAAGCTGGGGCTTGAGGAATGTGTCCTCCTTCCACCCAGAAGATGCCTGGCGCCGGCAGCTGGGCAAGCATGGGACCATTCCCCACCATTTCGGCCCCTTGCGCTACTTTCTGCAACAACGGGGCTGCGGGCAGAGCAGGACATGCCCAAAAAGAGGAGCAAGGCCCTGGCGAGCAGAAAGCCCAGCCCTGTTGTCCTGGCCAGGCTTGGCCCTGTCTCGCTGCTCTGTGCCCTCCTCACAGGCTCTGCTCTCTGAAGATAAAGGCATGTTCACGCACGCCAATGTCACAGTCACCATGTCATTTTTGGGACCTGGGGGAGCACTACAAGGAGGTGGGGGCTCCTTGGCACCCACGTGAGTGGGAGGAGGAGAGAGGGAGGTAAGGAAGGTCCAGACAAGGTACAGTCCAGCAAAAACTCCTGACTGGTCCCATTGGCAGCATGTTCCTCCCAGGCAAAGGCTGGGAAGGCGGAGGACCTGGTGCGAAAGAGAAGGGCTGAGGTCTGAGGACAACACATGTGGCTCTGATATCCAACCTCCCACTGTCCAGCACCGCCATCTCATGCCTGGTTCTCTCCTGCTCCCCTTGCCCCGCTCTCCATGGTGCGAAGGAGCAAACCTCTATAACAAGCACAGCCAAAACTGACTCAAACACAGCAGTGCTACCCAGAGGGCGGGGGTGGTCTCTGAGGGAGCCATGTTGCCCGGGGCCAGGTCCCGTGTCCTTTCATAGAGGTGCAGCTTCTCTTTGTTGGAGTGAAGCATCTTCACGTCCTCAAAGGCATAGTAAGCAGCCAGCATGAAGTTGACGTCCCCTGTGGTGAGGAGGTCGAAGACACAGGACTGAAAATAGAGGTCCTCCACAGGCAGCTTTTCCCTGCACTTGGCTGTGGCCGTTTCGTACGTGAAGGCCTCGGGGGGGGCAGGCAGGCTAGGCCCCTTCCTACGAGCACGACCCTCTGTGGCCTGAGCCGAGCGGATGGTCTGGAAGTCAATCTGTTGGTTGAGCGGACAACCGCGGAGGCACAGGTAGAGGCCCTGACTGTCCCGGTCCTCCACGGCATTGACCACCTCCTCCGGCATGCGCACAGCGAAGGTGAGGTACCGGCCCACCTGCCTCACCACAATGGTGGTGCCAATGTATTTTGCCTGGATTTCGATGTGTTGGCCCGATACCTTTTCAGTGATCTTCAGGCTGTTGGCTCCGTGCTTGTCCCCACCATTCTTGGAGCCATCAGCAAAGGCAGCGGGGAGCTCGTCCATCTCTGCCTGGTACACTTTCTGGTCCACACACTCCTGGAAGCTCTTGAAGATGATGGTGAGCTGTGGGTGAGGAAAGAAAAGAACAGGGTTACAACCAGCGACGACCACCTGAGAGCATACAGCCACCAACAGGAGCGGCATGGGAGGTGAGGGAGCTGTCTGCTTAGCCCGGCCAGAAGCGTGGCCTTCAGCTCATGGGCAGGCGCTTCATCCTAAGAAGTTGCCCCAACTTTTAGGCACCCAGACATGGCCATCCTGCTTCAGCACAGGGACGAGGACACCAGGTATGGAGTCAAGACCCAGAGGCTGGACTGAACGTACCACCTGGATCTGTGCTGTTATCTCCAGGCCCAACACAGGAGCTCCCTTGTAGCTGGAGCTGGGTGGAGTATCACTACTCACAGGCCTGTGGCGGCATGCCCGCGCATGCAGCACTGTCTTGCCTCCAGGGCCTGGCAGACGGCAGAAGGGGATGAGCCCTGCCTCTCTTAGAGGTGGTGGAGCTTCTCCTCTGGCTCCCATGGCATTTACATCCCAAGGGCTGGACCTCTTCCTTTCCCTGGCCACTCACAGACCAACAGAGTCTTCTCCTCTGGGCCCCAGAACACATCATGCTCCATCTCAACCATGCAGACACACGTGTTCAGCATGTTAGAGCAGGCAGGCCCTTCTAGGGGTGATACGGGCTGATAGACTGAGCCCAACACGGCTCCCCACCCTTGGCTGGGGTCAAACATGGGTCCCTTGCTGGACGAAGAACCTCACAGTGCTTGCTCTTCCCTTGCTGATCTGGCTTTGGAGGGGGAAGGCTTGATGAGGAGGAGAAAGAGTAGAGTTTGCATGGGAGGAAGAGTAACTTGCTCTTCTTCCTATGCAAACTACGCTTCCTCTTTCACCTCTTGCAGACTTGCTCTTCCTCTTGCACCTCCTTCCATGAGGGAGGAGTGGTAAGGGGGACCTCCTGCCACATGTCCCCCATGAAGGGGCAGACTGAGACCCAGCCAGATTGGGGCAGGGCTGGAGGAGATGGCTATCTCCCAGGGGCCAGTATGAAGGGAAAAACTAAGGCTCCCCAAGTACTGGGCTGAGCACGGTGGTGGCTCCCAGTACCTCTGCTCCCAGCGGTGCTGGCAAGGAGCCCAGAGCTGTCCAGAGCCCTGGCAATGTCCCTCTCTCCCACCCACTCCTCTGCTGAGTGCCCAGATGCTCCCCACCCCACAGCAGCCCTGCTATCCTCTCCTCAGCCACGTCATGAGGCACCACCATGGCCTGGGTTTCAGGCTGCACTACCCTTCGCACGGACCTCCTGCTGCCTCCTTTGGGTCCAGCCCTGCCTCTGGCTGGAGGAAGAAGGATAGACCAGAGAACATCATGCAAAAAATATAAAGAGCCCCATGGACTGAGAGGCTCCCATCCTTTTCAACAGCACATGGTACTCTAGCAATGACCCAGTAATGCTTTCCACAGCTCATGCTGCAGATCTCATGACTAATCCCTCCTCACCACAAGCCCATGAGGCAGATAATGGGTGAAAAGGCTCAATTAAGATGGTGATCCTGGGATCCAGCCTAGAAACTGCAGGTCCTGAGGGTCCTTAAGGACCACTTACCTCAAGCTTCCTTGCAAGCTTCAGCAGGTTTTGATGTCTTTTGGTAGGTAAGGAGTGGAGAGCATCATTAAGATTCTTTAAGGAGGTTTACTAGGGACAGATCAAAACCAAAATGCCAGCTGCAGCTCAGGTTAAAAAGGTCACATCCAGAGCTGAGAAGCAGTCCCTGTCCTACAAGTGCTTCTCTCCTCTCCCCACATGCAGGGAGAAGCAGAACTCCCAGACACGATGGGACAGGACATCTTCCAAAAGCAAGAGATTGCCTCCTGCTGAGCCTCCCTGTTTTTTGGCACAAAAAGTGGCCTGTTAGCTTTCGAGCTTGTGCACCATGGAGCAACATAACAGTTCATCAGCTCCAGGTCTCTCCTGAAGCTGAGGCCATGCCACACAAGTCCTGCTGTATCACAGCAGCACAATTTCACTTGGATTTTCTCAGTGTTTGCCTTGTAGCTTCAGGATGTTTATTTAGGCTGTCAAAGCACCTCCAGAACAGACTGTGCCCCGCAAAATTCCTTGACTTGGCTGCAAACCACAGAGACAATTGCAAGCCTGGGCAGAGGTGAAGGCAGTGTGAGGAGCTTAGCTCCCTCCAGGCTTTTCCATGCAAGCTGGAACCTCCCTGGAGGGCAGTCCTGGGTTTGCTTGAACCTTGGGTGTCCCCCAAAAGATGCCACCATCATTCCTGGTCTAGCTGTTCACAGCAACCTGGAGTCCCCCAGGTGGGACCCCTCTTAATTTGCAATCCCCCACCTTGGCCATGATGGCCCTCTGAGCTGCAGCATCTCAGCCTGCTAACCTTGACAGGGCTGGATGTGCTCAGGAAGAAACCACAGGCCATTAAGTGAAGGTGGAGACAAAGGAAGGACAGGTGTCTGACATTTAGGGCCAAACAGTCAAATTCAGAGGAGCTCCCGCCCGGTCTCACCCACCCCAAGGAGATGTGCAACTGGTGGAGGAGAAAGATGGTGGAAAGAAAGGCTGTTCGGAAGCACCTCTGCCCTTGCCCACCTCTCCTCACGGGGACATGCCTGAGGCTCACCTTGCTGGTGGCGGTGGCTGTGGAGCCAGGCAGCACCGGTGTGTTGGTGACCTGGACGTTCAGGTAGTTATTGTCTATGAGCGGCCAAGCCCCTTGCACCTTGCAGGTTTGGAAAGTGTCTGTGAAAGTCCTGAGGTGGGGGTCCCCGAAGAGCCCGCAGTGGGTGTAGTTGGGAGCGGCCGAGTGTTTGTGAAAGCTCTTCTCGTAGTGGCAGATTTCGGGGCTGTCGGAGCGCTCCTGGCTATCCCCGGGGGGCAATGTCCGGAGGCGGGGCTGGGACGTGGGACCATCCTTGGAGCAGTTGTGTTGCACCATGAGATCGTCTATGCCATGCACGGCGGAGTGGTAGGCCAGGTCGCCCCTGCAGGTGCGGGCGGTGCGGCGGGTGCAGTGCGCGTAGGCACGCAGCGCCGTGCAAAATTCAGGCGCCTCCTCCGTGCCCAGGTGGTGGGAGCCCGATGTGGCCGCCCAGAACTCAGAGTTGCACTTGAGAATCTTGCATGGAGACGTCACTGCAGGAGGGGAGGCAAACACAAGATGGTCAATGCTTGCGTGCCTGCGTGTGGGACATCCAACACTACCCCCAGGAAGAGGTTGGTGTCCTCCTCCCGCAGCCCAAACTCATGACATTGGCTGTACCGCGTGACAGGGCCTTCCTTACCAGATGTGACCATCTCACATGACCCAACTCTCATGCATCAAAGCCAAAGAAACCGACAGGATCTGCTCCAATTTAAGTCAAGAAGGGAAAGAGCATCCAGCCTTTAGATTAATGCTCCTGGGGGAAAACCAGGGTGTGGAAGAATGGGACATATTCATTAGCAGGGATAAAGGAGGATCATTAATGTGGGGGGAGATGCAATGGGGGTTTTAATGCCTTTTTAGGGTTTGACGTTCAAAGCTCTGTGTTGCATGAATTACTGTGCATTGTGTCCAGACCAAGCTCTACCAGCGCAAAAATCTGTCTGCCTTCCTTTTCCTCCTTCATGGGCACGGGGAAACCCAGCCCCGCCATGACCACTGTGCCCCGGACACATGTTGATGTGCAGAGGTTAGAGCAGAATCTGTGTCGTGACCAACCCTGCAGCAGAGCCAGCGGCCACCCCACCATCCTCATGGCTGCAGTGGTGCCAGGAACAGTGCTTGCCAGTGCCCCCGTGACCCTGAGAAGAAGCAGGAGCCAAACCCCTTTTTCTTGACTGCTCTGTGGCTCTGCCCAGCCCTGGGAGCCCGTTCCCCACCACGGCCCACTGAGAGAGAACAAGAGGCGGAGGAGAAAAACCGGTGCGGCAGGGTGCGGGGATGCCAGCTGAGCACCCGCCTCCCCTTCGCACCCGCCTTGCATTGCCCACGCGGAGGTGAAGCCAAAGGTAGCAGGGCCTTTGCTGGGCTCAGCCAGAGTCCCGGTGCTTGCTGGCAAGGCAGAGGAAGGCAAAGAAAATTCAGATCCTGCTCCCCTACCCGCCCCCCCCCGCCCAACATCTGCTCCCTGGGGCAGTGTGCCTTCCCTGGAGCAGACTTGAAAGCAGCTGTGCAAAAAGCACATGGCCATCGCTGAACACCACACAGTCACTGCTCTGCCCGTGCCAATTTGGAGTCTTGCTGGATGAACCCAGGCTCACACCACTTAGAATTCATGGTGTTTTCCTTCCTCTCCTCTTAATCAACACCCTCGGAGGGCTTGGAGACAGGATGTGCTCAGGCACAAAAGGCACAAGCCCCACCATTTCCAGATGCTTTCATGGTGCCCTCTTGCAGGCATACATGTATACTTCTGTCTCGGGTTTGTTTAGAAGGAGGCTGGCAAGGCATCTGTGCCAAAACCATTTCAGATTTGTTTAAAAAAGAAAGTTACAAACCCCAGTATTGTTTCAGGGAAAACAGTATGTTTTAGTTTTAAACACTGCAGTGCTGGAAACCTAAACATAGTTGGTGCTGGAAAATCAGAAAGGAAGACCAAGGCTATAAAACACTAAGCAGTCCAGCTTTAAGAAACAAGCCTGTCTCCTCTCCCTTTCCAAGAAGGGTGAAGTGCAAATAGAAAATGGTGACAGGTTCCTCACAGTTTTAAAATTCATGTTTAATAAACTCAGGTGCTAGCAACAGCACTAAAAAATCCAGGAGCTGAGAACCCAGGAGCTGTTTCATCTTGGCAGCATCCCATTTAAACTTGCAAGAAGCACTGTGGAAAGCCTTTAACTAATCATTGACCAGAGGTGAGATAATAAACTTTTGACCTGGGACGTGGGCTCATGTTTCTGCTAAGCCTTTTGCATATATGGGTCAAATTTAAAAATATTTATTATTCATATCCCTTTCTTTTCCACCCCAAGAGTGTGGTTTTCCACCAAAGACATTTTGCTTATCAAAATGGGGCTTCCCATCACAGCCAGCTGGCTTGCAATGGTGTGTATTGCTTGGTGTTTCTCCTAGATGAGAGATGTGAGGCAAATGATGTCTTGTTACCAGCACACAGAAAAGCCTGGCTCCCCAGCACCGCCTGCCTTGGCTCTGGAGGCTATACATTCAAACACGACTGTTGGAATATGCTATAGCTAGCACAGTGCCTAAACTCAGAGGGACAAGTAAGGGATGGTATTTAATGCAAGGCAATTGCACACAGTAGCACAGTTGGAGTGACAGGAGCAAGTGAGTTTGCTGGCATGGGGAATGCAAGCAGGGGCATTTCGGGGCGAGACGCTCATGGTGTGGGTTTATCAGGGTGGAAAATAAGGAAATTGCATCTGACTCCTTCTGACAAGAGACTGCGAGCATAGCTTTGCAGGTCCCCCAGGACCCTCCTGGTGGAAGGCAGGAGTCAAAAAAGCGTGCAGGATTGTGACCAGTGCCACCATTGCCAGTTATCCCAAAGAGTTGTGGCATCAAGCAGTTAAAACCATTGCTCTCCTAGTAGTTATGCTAATGTACAGCTTGAGGATGCCTTGAGGTTGCATGCGGCCGAACGCGCTGTCACTGCAGACAGACTTGCCAGCACAGCCCTGGGAGGAGCTGGAGGACACATCCCCAGACATGCAGGACCCACACACCCCACTTCACCTGACAGCTCGGTAAGGCACCGGGATGCACTGTGCAAAGCAGCCCGTCCAGCAAGCAGCTTGCAGAGCCCAGGCTGCTCCAGCCCTTCAGCTGCTGTGTAGATGGGACCTTTTAGTAGGAATAAAGCCATAGCCTGTTGCTCTTTAAGGACATGCTTCGTTCGCTTGGATCAGGAGACGCCAGCATGAGCTGTGGCAGCCTATGGACAGAGCGGGCTGCTGCAAAACAGCCCCCTAAAATTCAGCGCTGAACACATCCCCCTGCCAAGCATCCCTCGCTGCCGCACTGCCCCAGGGTCACGCATGACTTTATAAGGTACTGAGTTAAAAAAACCCCAACAAAACCGAGGGCAGGGAAGCCCATCTCCTTCCTCCCTGGGCCTGAAGGGGGAGCGCTGTTCTTTTAAGATGTTATCGCTCCGGTTTTGGCACCAGTCCCCTTTTTGCTCTTTCGCTCAGGGCCCCATATAAGGCCAGATTTCCAAAGCCAGGTGCTGCAGCCACAGCGGCGGTGTGCGAGTGGGGCCACACACTCTCCCCGGCCGCTCACGCCTGGGCTCTCCCATAGACGAGACATTTCTCCAACCACACCAGTGGCCACTGGGTTTGGCAAATCCCTTGCACTACTGGGAAGGGACCACTACGGATAAAAGCTGTGGAGGAAAGCAAACACCACCCTCTCCCGACAAGCACTCCTTGCCTCGTCCCCTCTGACAGCAGCTTTGGCACAGTGGTGCAGGCTCATTTGTACCCAGGCCAAGAAATGATGTTTATTCAATTTTGCATAATCTATTTTCCATTGACTCACAATGGATCTGTTTTTCAACCGCAGATGACTTAGCACGGAAACAAACCCCTCTCAAGCAGGAACCCAGCAAGGCTCTCCTGGGATCTCTGAGACACCCTCGGGTCTCGGTGATGCCACCACCCTTGTCCATCACAAAGGGTCCTTCATCCTGAGGGACAGGTGACTTCAAGCCCTGGTAGCCCAGCCACCTCCCAACCTCCCCATGATCCTCTCTGTTCAAGGGCTTGGTGCCACTCAAACCAGGAACAAAATTTCCTTTGGTATCTTGAAACCAATGGTTTCGGAAAGTTTAAAGCCAGAAATCCTTAAATTGCCTGCATTAAGACAGCCCCCCCCCACCCCGTGCATAGCCCGGTGCCCCACGTTTGCTCAGGTATACCTCCTATGAGGACTTCTGTGGTCTGAAAAGCCACCCCTTTCCTTGGCGGGCTGTTTCAGGAGTTTATCACCTTTACAAAATGCGGGTCTTGGTTCTAAGTGGATTTTATCTGACTTCATTGTAAGGACATAAAAAGAACCAGTGATTTTCTCCAAAGCTGTAAAAGGTCTGTTAGTAACCAGTATGTTTCCCACAAAGATATTTACACTCCGCAATCAAGTAACTTGACAGTCCTATAGATAAGGTAAACGGTTTGCACTTTTAAGTTCTCACTGGAAGGTGTTTGCCCAGCCCAACCATCAGACCCCCCTCTCCTTGCAGGCTTGTTTCCTGCAAAACCTACCACCCTGACGGGTGATACGGATGCAGGACACACGCTCGCCACTCTCCAGAGGTCAACCTTTTTGCCAGGGCATTGCACTGTGACAGGTACCAAGATGTGGTGTTTGGCCATGACCTTTTCCAGAGCTCCCGGTTTGCAAAGCACTGGTCCTCCATCCTGCGAGCATCCTGTGGTCCACCAAACACACAGCCAGGGGCCTGGGGTATCACACGACCCAGGTCCCGCTGCTCTGCCCTCATCATTGGTACATTATATTACACACTGTTAAAGTTAAGTGTTCAAACATATTATATGCATGCATCTAACTTATACAGCCTTTTAATTATCAGTGCCCCCTATTTTCCCTTCAGCTGGTGTTGGGTTACCCGGATTTCATTTACCCAAATCACGCTCTTTCAGAAAACTAGCACAAAATCAACAATTCATCTGTTCTCCTGCAATTTCTCTAGCAAAGAGAATTACTGGAAATTAATTTCAGTAAGCAAAAGCCAATTCTTTTAAGACTCTTGGGTGCATGTTAACCAGACCTGTTAATTTTAAAGCATTCACTGCTAAGAGATGTTGTTTAATATCCTCTTGGTTACTAACGGGCTGGAAAGTATTTCATCACCCACATGTGATGCAAATACATCATCCCGTGTCTTTCCAAATATATGGATTGAAGTGTAGATGTGCAAGCCTCACACATGCAGTAAAAGGCTTTTTCGGAGAACACAGTAAAACGTAATTACCTTTGGCCTCAGATCTGAGCACCTAGGCTTAGGCTCCTAAACACATATTTATTTAAGTAATCTAAATAAACATATTTATGCTGACACCTGAATAGGAAAGGCACGATTCTTGGTGGTGCTAAATACCAGCAACATCTTGCAGCTTCAAGGAGATGTGGGCTGCTCAGCTCCTGGGTGGAGAGCAGTCACCACCAG